CTCTTGATTGATGGATTTTAGGAAAAAGAATTCATTTCTTTGCTCTGCTCTGTATTTCCTGATCTTGGGGGTTTCCGTATCTTGCGGGTTCATGGGTGGGAGATTGAGGGAAAAAAAAAGGGAAGGAAGTGGTGGGGGGGTTTCCTGTTTGTGTTTGTAGGTTTATCTCGAATTTCTTTCTGCTTTTGAAATTTATGCAAACATATACCTCTCCGCCCTCGTTTTGACTCCACCTTGAGTTGCAGCTGGGTTGCTTAGCTTCTTCTTTCTTCTGTTTCTCCAAAAGCTGTGCGCCTCTTGCTGCCTTCGCTTCAGCTCCTTTCAAATATTTTGTGGGATTTCCTTGGCTATCATAGTAACGACCCACTAGTTTGCCAACAAATCTAACAATTAGGAGAATTATCAAACATTTTAGTCACTCAACGAAAATTTCAAATGCACACTTGACAAGGACGAAATTTTCAAAAGAAAGGAGATTACAACTCACGTGTAGCTTCGAGAGTAAAAATCCCTCCATTCAACAATGCTCTTTACCTGCAAAAACATTCTGTGGTTGTGTGGTATACATATCTTGGTGGTAGAAGATGTAAGGAGGCTCTAAATGAAAATTCTGTGGTTGTACTGCTAGTGACCAGATCTAGCTATGAGATCTGAGGGCTTTCGAAATGACTTTCATCTGTCAAATGTTTTGTTTTGTTTTTGTTTACAAATCATATTGATTATATTGATTACAAATCATATTGTTTCAATTACAATTTGTATTCTATATGACAACAAATCTGAAAAGTAATGCCTTTATCGTTTCCTAACTTCTTCAAGTTTAGTTTTTTCTTCTTTTTTTTCCCTTCGATTTCCTCAAATGTTAAATTCTAATTTGATTTTTCTGCTGTTGAATGGGATTGTCTGGAAACTTGGAATTTTCTTTTTTGGTCTTTTGTTTCAGTAGCTCTGTTTGGATTAATAAGACTTTATAGGGGGAAAAGGAGGAGATTTTCTTAATAAGCATTAGAATTGAGCTACATTTGATTCCCACTTCAAATTTCTTTGCCTGTATACGGTTTTTTTTTCCACCCTGTTTTTTCTTGGTCTTCTTGACTTAAAATCTGATTTGGTGATTAGTGGATGCTTAATTATTGATAAGTTTAATTGAATGAATAAATGACGGAATAGACTAAACTTATTTTTTACCATGATTTGACTCTTTGAGAATGATGATCTTGGGATTGCTTAGGCCAATTTGATCCTTAGCTGATTACCTGCCATGTTCGTTTCATTGGTTCTAATCACAACTCAAGCTTTTACTACAATATTTCTATCACAAAAATTCAAATTCAACTTTTTCTGCTACAGTGTTTTCTCTCACATAAATTCATTTTTCAACTCAAGCTATTTTAACATTAGAAACAGCCTTGTTCTTCATCCAAAAAACAGGGAAAGATTTCTTTTCTTTTCTCTCTCATTCTTTCTTTTTTTCAAGTGCCATTACTGGCGAACGAATGCCGTTGCAGTCCTGAATAGAATTCATTGTGAAATGCATGCTTAATTTAGCCAATTTTGCAGTGTTGGTTTGGTTATGAAATCTGGGAGGGTTTAAGAAACAATTGTATACTGGATGTTTTGCATGGTATGCTCCATGGAACTTTTAAGAGTTGACTTACTATTTTGCAAGCAAGAATGTCCGGTATGATAGTGGTTGTATTGTATGTAACCCATGATTGAACATACAGGGAGAAGTGTCTCCTTCTTCCACCTATTCATGTGTTTACTTACAAAACTAGGAATGCCAATTTGGTAGGGCCTGCTTAAAGATTGAGAAGAATGAGGAAAGGGAAAGTCAATCCTAAGTTTTTACCCTTAGTTTGTTTCCCTTTGCATTAGAATAAGCCACACCATTACTTTTGTAGCACAAGGACATGTAGTTCTTAAGATATTTGTTTCCTGTTGTTAAAATTAGTAAAACGCTAGAAACGTATCCGACTCCACATCTTAATCGGTAAATAACGCTTGAAAGAAAATGATTGATCCTCTTTCTTGATTTATTCCTTTCCTTTCCCATTACAATTTTCAGTAAGCATTCCCTTAATATGTGATTCCTTGCAGCTAATATAAGCAGAAGCATGGCTGGACATAACGACTTTGAGAAGAAATCAAGTGAATCGACAAATGATTTACCGACCTTCAACGCTGAGAATTTGCAAAGTAACTTGAAGGTTATATATTACAGGTTAGTTTTTGCAGCATTATGAGCCATAAAACTGTTTCACTTAACTGTATGCTTGTAGGATGAAGGAATGTAGGAAAAATCCTAAATCTGTGGATTGAATGATTCAGAAACTTAATGTGAAATTGTTTTGCCTTCATTCCTGTTTAAGTTTGCTTGATCTTGAAAATAGCAATATAAGGACATGTGGTTCGGGCTTTTTCTTTTTTTTTTTTTTTTTTTTTTTTCATTTTAAGAGAAGTAAATAATCCCTCTCTCCATAACGACTATATGAGAAAAAACTCAGACAGCCATGTGTTATGCTTTAAGAGATGTCATAGCGGAAGTTTTCCAATAGTTCAGATGTTTGGATGATAAAAATATCTCATTTTTAGCGTTAACTATTCAAGTGACCAATAGAGATTTTTGGTGAAGGAGGCATCCCTTCTGGTTTGAACCTCCATTGACACGAAAACACGCTTTTCTCTCTGTTTTAACAGCCGAACTTTTATGTCTATCATCGCTGGGGTCATTGCTGGAATTTTGGGATTCACAAGCCTCAAAGGGTTCATCTTTTATTTTCTTGTTATGGGCTTGACTTCAGTTGGACTCGTAGCCAAGACTGGGTTCACTATACATAAATTCTTTGATTCCTGGAACCAGATTGTGCTCGATGGTTTTTTCGGGGGGCTCATGGTAAATTCTTTGTTTTATTTACAGTTTCCACTCATCATTTCAATTTCCTTTATTAATGCACACTTTCGTTTTTCTCCATCTTGCAGTCATTCGTGCTGTTCTGGACGTATCCTTGATAACTGATTTCAATTTTGGCTGCTTACGCACACACACTTATACATATCGAGACATAAAATGTAGAGTTTATTATTGTTGTTGTTTTATGCTTTCCTTGACATGAAATAGCTTTGCTTACGACATCGTGCATATCTTCTGAGGGATTAGTATCTGCACAGTGATGAAAGGAAGGAATCTATCGCCTGCTCGTTGATGTATCAAGAACACAAGTAATTTCCTTTGTCCACAAAGCTGTGGAATGCACTTTAAATTTATCCTGGTTCTATTATTTATATAGAAATTTTCCCTTGAATATTGTACGGAAAGAGGACACGACGTGTAGCCCTGTTAATTTTGTGGTGGAAATTTTGGTTTAGGTTCTTCATGAAGCTGCTTTTCTTCTTTTAAGTTTACTAACCTTTTGCATTTATGGATATGATCCAAATTTTTGAAATAAAAGCAAGTCTTTAAATTGAACAGCTTAAATCTTGTTAACGGCTACTGAGCTAGATTGAGGTCTATAGCAGAATCTCCCATTCACGTGTCTATTTATAAAGTAGGAAAATAAGTTTACAATGCACAAGTATACACTTGAAATCAAATGTTTGATTCCCTTCATTTTCTCTCTTCTAAGCCCCTTTTCTTTCCGATTAGAATTCACTATGAATTAATGATAAATATAAACTTTGTTTTCGGAGTTAAGAATTCAAGTTAAAAATAAATTCATATGAGAGAAAACACTGTAGTAAAAAAAAGTTAAATTTCCATTTTTATGAGAAAATAATGATCAAAACTTGAATAGACATTCAAATTAGTGAAACAAACGAAATCGTGTTCTCTTGGTAGTTCTAATAATAACTATTATTGCTTGTAATCTAATTTAGCATATTGTACGCGTTTATGCTGTTGTATATATAGAGCTCGCTGCATTTCAAGGGTATAATTTAGCAAAGAAAAATGATGACAAAAATCATTAGAGGTCACGACTAATTACGCACCCTTACCTACACAACTCATTAAAAAAAAAAAAAAAAAAAAAAAAAAAAAAAAAAAAAAAAAATTTAAAAAAAAAAAAAAAAAAAAAATATTTATGACCCCATTCAAAAGTTGGTGGTGAATCCATCTCAATTGGAGTCTCATTGAGGCAATGTCTTGAGTCTTGACCATTAGAATAATATTATTCCAAGTGTTTAACGAAACTGGTTTTGAAGCGAGAGGCCTTCTTTACCAAACTCTACATTTTCTCAGTCCTCAAACCTGTAAATTTTCAGAGATGTGAATAAACTACATAATTGCATTTGTGTATGGAAAGAACCAAAGTCCAAAATTTAAGACAACCCATTAGTGCACGTTTGGTTTGAGGATTCAAACCATCTGAGTTTTGGTTCCTACAAAAAATTTAAATCTAAAACGCTATCCTACAGTGTTTTCTCACAAAATTTGACTCTGGGTGGTTTGATTTATGGTCTTGACCTTTTCGGCACTACACCATAAAGTGTTTGAATTTCAGTTGTCTTGATTATTTTCATTACGTGTGGCAAAGGAAAACTTTTAGGCACATAAAAATAGTGGACAGCAACAAAAAATCTTAAAAAGAACAGTCTTACCAGCAAGGAAGAGACATTTAAGAACACAAACGACGAGGAGTACAAGACACATGATAATGCCACGGCCGTGACCAAGTTGGAGATGAGCCGCTTGTCATCTTTACTGGGAACGAACGCCATTTTCAATATATTTGTAAGGTTAAAAAGTCTGTAGGAAATCTGCAAGACAAGCAAAATTTCGGAGCAGAATTAACACCAAAGAAAGGTTGAAAAGATGTTAGTCTTACAGAATACAAGTTTTTCTGCCGACTAAAATCCTATTTGAAATGTAGAGAACAAGATCTACAGCATTTTTTTCACTTACAGCTACGTATATGGCAGTAGTGAGCATGAAGTTCAACAATGGGTACTGCGGAATCAGGGAAAGCAACAATTTAGGCTGACCATCTGGAACACCGGATCTGCAAGTTGTCGTAAAATCGTAGTAAGATGAATGATAAAGATATGTGAATGTAAATCTATCTCAATATGTGTGCGTGTGTGTGTGTGAGCTGCTAGAACTATCAGCTATATGTAGACTAACTTCTAAAAGCGAGCTATATTTAGCAACATGGAGCAACAAGTTTTCAGTTTACGTGACATTTTAAAATAATGGCATTAGTAATTAGATAACTAATTTGGCATACCTTAACCAGATATGTATTTGCGAGATGTAAGTCTCTAGTGTTATCTTTCCAAGCCATCTAGTAAGTGGAGAAAGAGAGAGTTAGCATCCATGAACAGAATTTGAAACTACTTAAAGCCGACACAATCTCTGTAACATAGAATGCAGTCACAGATGACGCTATAAATCCAATTCACATACGAGAAAAACTGAAATATAATGCAGACATATTACAGTAAAAGGAACTCACGCGAAAAGGGTTAAAGAATAGCCGCGAAACTGTTGAGTCACATTTCGCAAACATATATACACCCTGAGGAACACATGAGATAACAAGTGAGTAATGGCAAAGGCTTAAAAATTTGTAAAAACGTTTAGGATATAAATATATACGTACGTTATCGGAATCCATGACGTATAAGGATGATATTTATTGTAAGTCAGTTTGTCCAACTTGTATATATACTCAAACCACAGATACCCCGCCTACAAATTCAAAGACCAAGCATCAGCAGAACTGAAAGCACAAGTACTTCAGCTAAAAAGAGAGCAAAATGAATAGAATTGTTGAATCAACAGTCAAAAATACCGTTAGTGAAATCAGAGTCACAGCCGCTTTAATTGATATTCTTCGCTTCACCTCCGCTTCCTCCAGTTTCTCCATCCACCTTTCAACCTAAAACGACTTAGGCCAATTAGCCAAAATGTTGATTCCAAACAACTAAACCAGAAGAGACGTGTCCCATCAGAACTACCAAGCTAAGTATAATTGGAGTGCAAATTTTGAGAAACAAGATACACTCCGTTCTTTTGCTTTAGTAAAATGCATTTGGTTGAGTAAACATACGGTTGGATGAAAGTAAGCATATATCATTCCAATTATCCATATGTATCGATCAAGTCCTGACCGAAAATGCCACTCATGCAAGGGGTGAACCTGTGTTTTTGCAGCTGGATCTGCGTAACCTGCAAGTTGAGGACTCTCGGTTAGTGAACTGCAACATTATGACATAAATATTAACATTCTGGAAGTTACTGACCGAGAAAGAAAGTGAATGGGCTCCAGACCAACTCAAACACTCCAGGTATTTCCCATACCACGATAACCACAAAGAAGCAAGAGATGATTTTTAGCGCTATGACTGAACTGTTCTCGTTATACTTGTTCAGAATACCAAGTGCCCCGTAAACCATAAGGGTGAACAGAGTGTGCATGGGGCAAATGTAGTATAGCATGTAACTGTTGTCTAGGACAACGCAGCACAAGAAAACCAGGAAATTAAGCCGCCACATCATCTGCTCAGCAAGATTGTTTAAAATTAGTTTGAAGTGCACTAGATGCTGAAAACTAAAGAAGCAATCTTAGATTGCTAAGGGATGGACTGCAAACCTGTGCAAATCTTGCCAAGCTGAAATCCTTGCGGACATAGTAATATGAAAAGTTTCCAAATCCAGTCATCCAAACATATGCAGCAATGAATACTCGAATTGCATTGTAAATTTCTTTTGCAGCAAAGTAGTGATACATCAAGAACAAAACCTGTAAGAGAAAGGGAGTAAAACAAAACAAATAATGTGAAATACTTGATTCACGAATTCCGAAACAGCATTTGTGAAAACCAAAATCAGTGTTCTGACATCTAATCCGTATATCTTGGAATTGCATAAGAAACGGTCATGTGCACTTTAGATAAGCATATATTACAATGGATCTTAAAATAACATATAAATATAAAAAGAGAACAAACCTGCATCCACCCTCTCCACTCCTCAGTTTGATGCCTATTCAAATAAAGTATGGACTTCCCCGTAAACGATGACTTGTCATCATGTATTGTAAAAGAAGTCATTGCTGAAACTATGATGAGGAGGAAGTAAAGAAACAGGAAGAGATCTCGATTATAACTCTGCACAAATCAATCATAACCAAGAAACACGGTGTCAGCTAATGTATAAGAGAAACAAAGGAATCAAATGAAACGCTCAATGGGGCACTACTAAAGTTCTTATCATCACCTTCTCTGACGAGTTAAAGAAATTGGTCCGATCGCATAGGTAGTAATATGTTAAAAGGAAACCAACTTCAGATCTGCAAATTAGACAGGGAGGCAAAGATCAACAATCTAATAACCAAATAAAGAAAAAATATCAAATTCTGATCCATCAAAAGCTTTACTTACATGGCTCGAAGTGTTAATCGGTTTTCCAACAAGAAAGTCTCATCCATGCAAAGGAACCTAAACAATTTTTCCACAGAACATAAGCAAGTAGACATTGATAACAACTAAACAACCCACAGATTTTCAAAGTCTATCCCTTTTACACACCTGATCAATGGAGATGAAGTAGACGGATTTCGAGCCGTAGGAGAGGCAGCTGTCTGCATCCCACCCGCCTCCAACAAAGCATCCTTTTGTTCATCTTTAACCGCCTCTTTTGTCACCTCAGTCAAATTGATGTCAGAATGCCTACTGTGTGGAAAGCAAATACAATAAGTACACACACACACACACACACACAAAAGCTTTTTCTTCTTCTTTTGCTTGAATTAAATATTTTTCTTCTTTTTTGGCCCAAAAATCAACATTTTTCTTCTTTCCAAGCTTGAAAATTAACATTTTTCTTCTCTTCACGCTTGAAATCAAACATTTTTCCTCGATAAACCACACAAAAAAAAAAAAACCTTTTTTCCTTGTTTTGCTAATCAGATAATTACGTAAGCAATCTAAAATTGCATAAACATATATATCATGTAATTGAATTGAGTTTAAAAACTCAAATCCAAACTTTATAATCTTGATATAGTGATAATACACCATAGCTGGAGCTACAGAGCTAAAGAGAAAGATATTCAAACTCACACTTTAACAGGAACCGGATTCTTCTTCTTGTACTCCAACAACTCGGCGTAAATCCAAGCAACAATCACAGGTATAATCCCAAGCAAAAACGAAACCTGCAAAGACGAACACTACTCCACTCAGTGACAATCCTAATCCAATCAAACTCAATCAACGCCATTTCAGGAACCAAAATGCACAACAAAATTCGAAGAAAACTCGAAGAACTGAACAAGATCTGAGACGAAATCGAAGGTTTTAAAGGTAAATTAAGCAGCACCTGGCCAGGAGTTACAGGACCAAAAATCACCATTTTTGGAAGACGATCAGAGCTGCTCCGAGAGAGAGACGACCTGAGACGCGGAGATCAGAGAAGCATTTCACAGATCTGGAATGGAGCTTCAATGGAGGATTGGATTGTTGCAGAGAAAAATCGGTATTTGAGTGATGTATGAAATGAGAGGGAAAAAAAGAAAACGAGTAAAATTTTAGAGATCGAGAGAGAGAGATTCTGAGTAAATGACCGACGAGTACCTGATTTGAGAGCGGTTGGTTAAGAAAATCCTTTTTTATTATTTATTTATTGCTTATTCATTTTTTTTTAATTTTTTGTTCATTATTTGTTTATTTTTAAACATTATTTATTGTGAAGAAGTTCTATCCTTATTTTCTTAAAAATTTAACTTCTGTTGAATGTGGCTGTTAAGTTCTATTAAATAATTGAGGGTTGTTAATTACATATTCTAAAGCTTTATTTGTATTAATCAATTTTAGTCTTAATTAAACATTAGTGTAATACCAACTACCAAGTGGTATTGCACGAGAAGCATTTAGGTTAGGATGATTTTCATTACCACATTAGCCACCATCATTTCATAGGTAAAACGCGTAATATATATGTCACTTCCAAACTTGGACTTGAATCAACCCATAAATGTATTATTATTATTTTGACTGGAGATTGAACAGGAATTATAAATTCACCTGATAAGAGTAGGCTACGAAAAAAAAGTGTAATAAAAAAGGCACTTTTTTTTAAACCCCATTTGTAGATGCTAAATGGACATGTACCTAAAATGTATAGATCCATAAGCATTTGCCAATTATAAATGAATTCTATATGTGGTTTGGGAGACTCATAAAAGATGGGTTTGAGTCAACTAAGATGGAGTTGTACCTTAACCAAACCTTGTGTCGGCAAAGTTTGAAGAAGATGCACAGTGTGTTAAAAATCATTAATTTTTTTTTTTATTTGACGAGACAAATTAATAATTCTCATAAATAAAAAACACAATATTCATATCAAATAGTAATAACAATTGAAAAGACCCTACACCATTCATATCTTGAAATTTATATCCCGCTCTTTTTAAGGTTGAGCTTAGTAATCAGTATTTATGTGACAATACATTAAAATCGTTACATAAGAGAGTAATACCTCTCTTTTTTACTCGTCACTATGTAACAATATTTGTTAGTAAGGCACATGTGGGGATATACATCCCCAATGGAAAGTAATGCTCTGCCTATAGATAGCTCCAAGGAAGGCGAGAAAAAAAAAAAAAAAAAAAAAAATTTTCCTTTTTCCCTTTAAGGAAATGAAATTAGAGGAGCCTATTCACAAATTTGATGATGAATTATAATAAATTGTGTGTCGTTTTCAACCATTGCGTTGTCATTGCAAGACCATTGAAGTCCAGATGTACACGCCTAATCGGATTGACGAATAACTAATGGGCTACCGGTAAAGTCTTTCTGGACCATTGAACCCATGTTAAACAGGCCTATCACTGTGGATCAGGAAATTAATTCCGATTTGGAGCCAAATCGGACAACAATTTATTTTCCGGGGTCCACAATTGTTGTCATCACCCCCGATCTGAGGACACGTGGTACAATCTCAATTATCGGATCGAACGAGGTCCACAAATGCCAAGGACCAAAGCACTGCCATACTCCAAGGCCCAAGCTGCTTTAAAAGTAAAAATTTGTTTAACCAAAAAAAATTATAAACGCGTTAGTGGGTTAAATTTGCTGAATAAAACAATATAGGAGAAAGCAACATCATCCAAAAAAAAAAAAAATGAAAACAATATTATCGAGAATAGCTCTTAAATGACCGAAAACACCTTAATTTTGAGCGTTTTGCTTATGACTAATTGATTCTCAGGTGGACTGTAAAAGTGGTAAATTAGTAATTATCTGACCAACTAAGGGCATGAAAATGCATAGGGCAACAAAATGCACCTCTTTGGAATTGGCAAGAACGAGCCCCACCTATCCCTATCTTATTGTCCCTTCATTTTCTTTTTTTCCTGGCTGATCTCATTCTTGATTCGACTTCCCATAAAAGGCAACAAAAGTCGTGCTCTTAGAACGAACCAAGAAATAGCACTACTTTTCTTCCATTTATTTATTGCCCCTCCAACTTCTATTTCATTTTTTCCATTAGAAAAAAACTTTTATTCCACTTTTTAATATTATTGCATGGTCGCATGTCGATCAGTCTCTATTGCCTTCATTTAATGAGTGGTTTAAATCACGAGCACTTATTTTATTTCAATTTCACTATTATTTTATTATTTGTTTCAATTTAATTTATTTTGTTAAACAAAGAAATGAGTTCAAGCCCGATACAGCTTCAAGCTGTCCTCAAAAAATTAACTAACTAAATAAATTTGGTAGTAATTTTATAGTAGAATAATCCATCCAAAGGGTGATGGGCATTTCTGAAATACAACAGAATTTGCAGGCTTGTACAAAAAAATCAGTCTCGGAAGTAGATATTTAGACTATTATTAGTGATTCAGTTCATACCTTATGAAGTAGACATAAAGTTATAACAATTACAATAAAAATAGTATGGTAGAAGAGAACAATGATTGTAAAATGACCCAATCAACATTATTGTACAAAAATCATGAACTGCACCAACCAACCATTCAAAGTTCAGCCAACAAAACTTAAATAAATAAAAAAAGCACAAAGGGAAATCTACCTAGAGAAACTTGCCATCAACCTAATAGATAACAATACCCAACAGACTAAAACAGTTATCTAGACTTCTTTTTTTTTTTTTTTAACTCGCAGAAAATTCTAATTCCACCCCCCTTTCAAATGGCTTTTCAACCCCATCCACAGAACCAAAATTACCACTAGCATTAGCAGGTAGAACTTGTAATAATCCTAGTTATATAGCAACATGATAATACATGAACAGGAAAGGCAAAACATATTTTAGGCTGCATCCTATCCTTCTTTCTAACAAAAGAGGAGATGAGTTTTAAGAGAGACAATATAGAGAAAGACAGATAGAGAGAGAGAGAGAGAGAGAATGACCTATTTGTCAATGGTCAGTCCTCAAACCAAGAAGGGGCCAGGCCCTATCGCTTGGATGGTCTCTCATCATCCTCTCCACCATCATCGTCATCACCGTCAGAATCATCTTTGTCCGACCTCTTTCTCTTAGGTGGAGCCTCCACCTTCCCACTACCGTCACCGCCACCGTCATCATCATCATCGTCCTCCTCATCGACATCTTCATCCTCTCCATTCTCTTCAGGCTCAAAGTCACTGGCATCCTCCTCATCCTCTGCATGCCCCACTGGCCGCACGAGATACTCGGTGCCGATGTCCTCCTATGATGTTTAATGAACAATTTGATGTCAGCAACTGCTTTCATTTAGCTAACACAGATTTATTAAATTTCAATCCAGAAAACAAACCCAGATGATAACTTAGCAAACAAAAATTTATGCTGTTTTCTACAGCAACCCGGAAGCCAGAGCAGCTAGAAATCACTCATTAGAGAATAAATAATATCTTAATAATGAGGAACTTAAATTTTATGGCATCTGTTAATAACATTTAGGACTTCTGTGGGATATCACAGTGGCTTTGCAGATACAAACAAGAAAATCAACTAGACAAAGGAACATAAACTGGGTGACCAAATAAACCAACCAGAAACCAGTAAGACAAAAGGTGAAAAAGTGAAAAAAATAATAATAATAAATAAATAGAAAAGAAGGATTGCGAGTATTTAAATATCCTCGCAGCAAACGAGAAAACTACTTTCACCAACAAACAAATAATCTAGATTTCATACAATAATTAGTTCACCCAAGGCAAATAATAAAAAATAAATAAAAACAAAAAACAAAAAAAAAACGTACTGAATTCTTAACATATTTTCAATATCTTGGAAATAAGGAATAATATTTTAACCAGAGAAAAATTTATTGATGAAAAAAAAGGCAGTAACATTTTTCTTTTTGGAGCCATCTGACTGGAAATAAAAAATATGAGGTGCGTTTAGAATTAATTTTTTATTATTTTAAAAATGTTTCTACATGTCTTATAAGACATGAAAATAAAAATAATCTGCAAATTGTATTTATTTAGCAAATGTTTTGAAAACGAAAATGAAAACAATAAACATTGAGAATAATTTTGAAGTAATTAAAAACGGTTAAAAGTTATTTTTTCTTTCTATTTTTATTTTCTAGTACTTATCAACGTATTATAATACATTAATTAATAATTATAATCAAACACGATTTTATTTTTTTATTATACACAAAATAATCTCTTAAAAAACTAATCAAACATAATTTTAGAATCAGTCTTAAAATAATTCTAAAAACAATACCATTTTTACTTTTATACGGAGAATAAAATCATTTTAAAAACTTTACCAACCAGACTATCGAACACCCACAAAGGGTTACAAACAATCTGAGCCACTACACTATAGAACACCCACAAAGGGTTACAAACAATCTGAGCCACTACACTATAGTCAAAGGTAACCTAGGAAGTCTTTAGAAATTAATATAGAAAATAGGTTTCACAGACAAAAAAAATACATAAGATCTGTGAAAGGCTACACAACTTTTATCTATTACTTTTTCCAGAAAATACAGCAAGAATCTGTATTTAATTCGTATAATGACGGACTCCAAAGGATTATCAATTATCATATCCTCAAGAAATTCTATCTCAACAAAATTATGAAGACAACGACTACCATAGCAGCAAAGAACTCTCCAGACGCTCAAAAGACAAAAAAAGGTCTCGTAGAATTTATGGAATTTGATAAATATGTGGAAAATTCAACAAATCTGAATTATTGCTATTAACATCAAAACCAGGCATATATATTTTGAAAAATATCGAACAAATGAACGAAATTATACCAGATCTGAATATATTTCGCAACAAAAAATCTAAAATTTCTAACAAATCAAAGATTTTTATACTCAACCTAGAAAAAAAAATCCGAAAAATTCGTAAAAAAACTGAAAAATAGAGAGAATTCGGAGACTATTACCTCTTCTTCGCCATCTTCATCGTCTTCTTCGTCTCCCTCGTTATCATCGTCGTCGTCGTCGTCGTCGTCATCACCGCCGCCGCCTTCTCCATCTTCATCGTCATCCTCGTCGTCGTCGTCGTCCTCATCGTCATCTACCGAGTGAACCGGCGGACCACCGGAGGACTGTACGACCTCCTGCACATCGTCGTCCTCGTCTTCTCCCTCCTGATCATCGTCGTCGTCGTCGTCTCCATCATCATCGTCATCGTCGTCGTCGTCCTCGGCGTCCTCTTCCTTCTCTTCTTCTTCGCTGTCCTCCGTCGCATCACCGTCCTCTTCATCCTCCAACTCCTCCTCCTCCTCCTTGCGCAAGCGCTTGATTTCGTTCTCCTCCACAACTTCCTCCATAGCCTTCATCTTCCACAAACACAAACCCTAGCGAGGATTTTGCGCAGACCAAATCAATCGAAATCGCAGAGAAAATTTCTCCAGAAATTTGGAATAATGATCAGAGCAGCTTCTCCGTTCGGCTCTTACCAGTAACTCTGCAACGAGTGATCTCACCCGTTGAAACAAGTGTTCACGCGGATAGACGACGTGGCAAGGGATCGGACGGTTATCGCGAGAGAATTTGTATTTTTGCGTTAATAGGCTCATTGCGGCGCTTATTCCTGCTTCTTGTTGTCAGCTGCTTGTCACGTGCGACTTTAGGGTTAGGGTTCTTTCTTTTTCTTGAATTTCTCATGGGCCGGTGGTGGACAATGGGCCTCCGAATTCAATTTAGCCCCAACTCTTAAGCCTAGAAGCGAGAAGTTTCATTCTAGGCCCAAAAATAGTTAATAAGGTTCCTCTTCTTTAAAAAAAAAAAAAAAAGGGAGAATTTATATTGTATGAGTTTAGACTTTTATCTTTTAATTTTAATATATACTCTTTTATAAGTGTAATTACTTATCTAAAAAGGTTATAAATCAAAAATAAATAGTAAAAATTTTGACTCATATATTTTTAAAAAGTATTTATCAAAATTATGTATTTTCTTTTTTCTCTCTGAAAAAAAAGAGAAAATTACATATTCTACCTTCTTAAGTACCTACTTACTAAAAGTTTCTCTTTTAAAAAACTCTACCCCTTAACGTAAGCCCATGTATTTCTATCTTACCCCTTTTAAAAAACTCTACCCCTTGACTGGTTTTAGTCTAAAAGGTAGAAATACATTGGCTAATGTTAATGGATACAAATAAAAGGGGGTTCTATTTTAAGGGGTATTTTTAAAAATTATCCAAAAAATAAAGAAGTATTTACACGATGATTTTTACCCTCTGTGTTTAGGATATGTCTTTAATTGAACAATATTGATGGTCGTTTTAAGGGATACAAATAAAAAGGGACTCTATTTTAAGAGTATTTTTAAAAATTGTCAAAAAAAAGAAGTATTTACACGATGATTTTTACCCTCTGTGTTTAGGATATGTCTTTAATTGAACAATATTGATGGTCGTTTTAAGGGGTACAAATAAAATGAGACTCCATTTTAATGGGTATTTTTAAAAATTGCCCAAAAAATAAAGAAGTATTTACACGATGATTTTTACCCTCTATGTTTAGGATATGTCTTTAATTGAACGATGTTGATGGTCGTTTTTGTATAAGGCCCATAACAGGGTTCAAGCTTAATAATCTTCGTCATGTGACACTATTGGACTCACTTTATGGACTTAAGTAACGCTTGGAGAACTCGTGAGGGTCATGATTTGAGAGGTCATGGGTAATTGAACCGGCCCCTTTTTTTTTTAATCTGATCCGATTTTAACTCTTACTTGGGACTTTTAAAATAATTGGATTAAAAAATGAATGAGTGATAAAAAATTTAACCTCTGGAGGCTCAAAAATCTAAAATTTAAGCTATAAAACCTTCCCCTCCATCGCCAGCTTACGAGTATTTCTGTTCCGGAGCGGCTTGCTCTGGAGCATGCTGAAGATCGTCTCTGTATCAGTTCTTGCTCCGGAGACGTCAGGTGCTCCGCATATATGTTATATGTATGTACTTCTTTTATATACATGTTATTTGTGTATAATTTGACAAAAAAAAAAAAGAAACATCCATTTCTTCGTAGACCATTCAAATTGATTAATATATATAGATGGGGTTGAAATTTGAAAACGGCATTCACAAGGTTTTGGGTTTTAGCACCTGGATGCCGGTTGTTGTTCAAATACTTGGCGATTAAGGTTGTTACAACCGCAGAAGCCAACACGACAACAACTCATATTTCACTATATTTAAAATCAAATTGATTGGGGAATTTCATTATAAGGTGAAGAATGATGGACCTCATTGATTGATAATTTCATACTTTCGAGATATAGAAGTTGTTTAGTTAAGAGATTCGTACCCCGATTCGAATCATGATTCATAGTTCGTACTCCTACCTTTTTACTCCTACCTTTTTACATCTCATCTTTCTTGATCTACACATTTACTTGCTTGAAAAAAAGTGATAAAATACATGTATTTGGCGTCTCAAATACAAAAGCTACCTTTTGTACTATTATAGTATGACTATGAAGTATTTACATAAAAAGTCTCTAATGAAGGGCCTTAAAAATGTTCTATTATACAATACTACAAAAATATCCATCCATTTGTGCTTAATAAGGAATACATTAAATCTGATTTGCCCTTATAGTTTTTCCTAGCATGTCCCCAATATAGTATGTTAATATTAGGATATTTTCTCTGATCATTTTAAGCATTTGACCTTCCTTTTTTTTCATTTAATATTTTGTCATCAATCAATTGATATATTCTTGATATGATTTTTAAATTAGGAATTTTTATTAAAATATAAAATTATTGTTGGCCCACCTCCTAACAATTTAAGTTTTTTAGATGGATTGGTAAACTAACATGGTATCAGAGCGACAGGTCCTGAGTTCAAACTCTCGTAATTGCACTCTTTATCCCCATTTAAATTGTCATCACGTGTTAGGTTTTTAATATATCTCGAGCTTAAATATTTACGTGTTGGACTTTCTAATTAATTTACCCACACGATTACTCTTTATCCAACCTACACATGAGAGAGAGTGTTAATATATAAAATAATTATTAGCTCACTTCTTAACAGTTTAAGCTTTTAGGATGGATTAGTAAATTAACAGTTTCTCTTTGTCGAGTTGGCAATTGACATTTGTGTGAATTAATTTTGGGGTGGGGTGGGGTGTTTTGCATTGTCAGAGAGTCAAACAGAGGTTTGTTAAATTGTTTCTATTTTCTGGCTGCATATTCAAAACTAGAGGTTGAATAGAAAAAGGTTGGTTCTTTAACGTTTCTAATACGTCTTTGATATCTTGTTTTTCTGATCTTGCATTTTGAAAAAGTTCTTTCGATTTTATTGTTCATTATCGTTGTGTGATCAATATGGTTCTGCAAACTGCTCTATTCATTTGTGTTCATAATGATATTATCATTACAACAATGAAAACGGGTGTTTTTATGAGTTTATGTCTCATAATGAATTTATTCTTTTTCGTAATAATATTACAAATGATCCTTCTCTACATTATTGCTTTTATTATGTATATTAATTTTAATATTCTTTTTCATAATTATTATCACTTTACAATTACAGTTTGTGTATTTTGTTTTATTCATTCTCGTTCATATTTTTTTAATTTAATGTGTTTTAATTAGATTCAACAGTCAAAAATTATAAGATCGATTGAACAGCTTATCAAAAAAATTCCCCGTTCAGAAAGATGCACTATGAAAAAAAAAAAAAAAATATATATCCACATAAATAATTCGTCCAAATCCAAACTTTACGCTTTTATGCCTTCACACCAGAAGAACAATAACCCTTAAGCTAGAGGGGAAAAAACAATACAAGAAATCAGCATCAAAGCATCACAAGAAGAAGAACAAGAGGATAAGAAGTACACCACAACATAGATAGATAGATAGATAGATAGATAAATATCATGTGTCCAACAAGATGGTACACGTCGGCTTTCCGATGGCCGGAGTTTGATTTCCGGTTGCCGGAGCTCGATTTCTCCTACTTGACGAGCGGTTGGAGTTCGGAGAGTTTCAGGTGGTTTGGTTTCTCCATAGTTGATGATGTGTTGTGGACTCTTGTTTCCTTGGTGGAGTCCTTGGCTTTGGCCGCTATGCTTTGCTTCTTCTTTGTTTTTTGTGGTTGTACTCTTTGAATGCTATCTATTTACATGTTTTTGTAGATCTTCATAGGTGTAATATATTGTTGTAAATATCTTTGGTTTTTTTATTATTTTTTTATTTTTTATAAAATGTTTGGTGGAAAATCTGACATGGGTGAGGCTTGTTTTGGCGAGTTGACCAACAAAATTGAATCAAAATTATGGCTCATCTTTCATCTTGGGATTTTATGATTTTTCTTTGTTAATTAGTTGTTACCCTTTTGCTGATGGAGTTAATATAGTTCATACAAGTATTTGGTCATTGAAATTTAGTTGCTAAAACTTGATACCCAGTTGCAAGACAGGCTTATCTTGATTATCTTCTGAATTGAATCATATAAACTCCTCTTCTACTTAATTGTTAGTTCAAACTTCAACCCTTACTTTTTGTTCTTTCTTTCCAGTTAAAAAATTAGCTAGATTTTTTTTTAATGTTCAAGTTCAAATTCTTAAAATGTGACTATCATGAAGGTTTGCCCAATTTGTTCAGTTGTGAAACAGATGTTGTTTATTGGCTTCAAATTTTCATCTCATCTTTTGGGGTCCAAAATAATTTGTGTTACAAGAACACATTTTTTGAAAGTTTTTAGCCTTTAAAAAAAATGAAAAAAAACAACTATAGTTACGACATTTGAACAGATATATATATATATATATATATAAAACTCAATTTTCTTGAGATAAAGTTCAGACCCAAAACACTGGTCTTTCCTTTAAAAGAGAGATTCATGGAATTCACTTAACCAAAGTGGGGCAACCCAAGAGTAGTTTCCCCTTTTTGCAAGTGCCTCTTGTATTTTATTTTGTTCTGCTTTTATTTTAGAGTTTTATTTTTAAGAAAATTTTTGATATTATTCACGATTACTATTTACACAGTAAGATTCTGACATAAACAGTAATTTTGATTGACTTGCATAGTAATTTTAATTGAGATGGACAGCTACTATTCATAATAATTTTCAATTTGTTATTAGTTTTTCAAGTCTAGTTAATTGTCACTTGGCATTGTTAAAGCTGGGCGTCACACCTAAATTCTCTACTTTATTGTTCATCTTTTCTTGGCATTCTGCAATCTTTGATCAAGAATCACAACATGGGTGGATGGTCTCCTCTACAACATGAGACCACTGAGGATCGTGGTGTAGTGATAAGAACGTCTCTGTTAAGTCTCCTCTAATTATTCATTCAGGGTTCAAGTCTCTATTATCGTATCGTAGAAAGTTACCCAAACTCTTTTGGAGAAATTAAGTCAGCCCTATGAGTGGGTGGATAATCAGTGAGAGACGTATTTGTGTTGAAATTCAGTTTCCCCTTTTTGAGTTTTGTCGGTGATTTGTTAATTAGATGCCATTTACACATATAAATGCATGTTTCATCATATTGTCCCTTATGTCACGGCCTAATCATGCATTTAAAGTTATAGAGCCCACCATTTTTGTAACTTTTCATAACTCCATTATCTTCTTCCGTCAATAATGCTACAAGGAAGAAAGATCAAAACAACTTTTTCTCCACTCTCGTCACTTCTCACATCATAGGAGCAGCTTGTGGGACAAAAGTTTGTCCGAGTATTGATAGCAACAGCAAAAGGGAGTTCAAATCACTGTGTGACATACTTTTTTTTTAATGAAAATTGTTGAGAATTAGACACCCTATTTTTGTACAATTCAGAATGAAATCGTATAAGGATTCACCTTCAGTGTAAGAGTGACGTTATAATAATAATAAAAAAAAAGTTTGCTAGAAAAAATCGCAAACCTCTCAACTTTGTACATACAAAAGAAGTTTATTCGAAAATCAATTCTTGTGTTGTCTCTGCTTAAGAGAATAATTATCAGAGCAATAATCAGGCTTCACAACTTGAAAAATTCTCGACAAAATATATTGTACAAGAAGTTAATACTGTTGGAACGGGTAGAAACATCTTGAATCTGAAGCAATTTCCATAACCTTCTAGGCTAATGTCTTTCTGTTTCACTTTTTAGTACAGCTGTGAATAATCACATCTTCTTAACTCATAGGTTTTCTTTTAATGTGTCGAATCACTTTTATAGTGCTTCTAAGACAAGTGGTTTCACAATCAAACAACCAACAACAAATAGATTTGAGGCAATTGAATAGCACTCTATAATTTATCCTTTTTTCCAAATGGGAAAAAAAGGCTTTTACAAAAGAGAACAAAACCATGTTTCTGCAGGACAAACGAGTACATGTTCTGTTTCTGCAGGACTACAAATATCATTTGTTGATTATTATTATTTTTTTCCGATATAAATCAAACAGATTAAACCCTCTGCATACTTTTGAAAAGTAATTAGGACAAGCATCCTAATTAATCCATGTAAAACATAAAAATAAATAAATAAATAAATAAAATCCTGTTTATTTTGCTAATTTGAATTACAACTCAAATTTTTACTATAGTATTTTCTCTCATAAAAATTCAAATTTAACTTTTTTTACTATAGTATTTTATCTCACATGAATTTACTTTTAACTCAAATTCTCAACTCGAACGAGTTATGAGTGAAAAGAACGGGCCCAAATTACCTAATAAGACCTATTATAGTCTAGTGCAGCTTAGTTGCTGAGGTGAACTCCTCTACTAGTACTAGATAGAATTTTATTATGGGAAATCTCCACTGCATAAAATTTGAATCAACACCAAAAAAGAGTAAAAAACTGAAAAAAAAAAAAAAAAAAAGAACTGGCAACATAAAATGCATTGCTGAGAAAGAACATTGTTTTCTGTGAATCTTTAAATGGGTTGCATATGGATTCCTTATTTAGCAGTCCAATGTGCTCATATGGGCTTTGTGGTCACATTGCAGAAAAAGTGACTTTAAATTATCAAACTAGAGTTTTTCTGTGAGCTTTCTACTTTCTAATACATTTAAGTAGGGGTTCTACAACTGTCCACATGCAAATGGAGTTGAAAATCCCAAACAATCTTTTCTAGCTTTTTTTGTTATCTTGTTAAGTTTGTTTTAGCAATATAACTGTTTTGTGCAACGTGGCACACATAACAAGCATGATTTTGAGACATGACTTTTTAAAGCACCTCAAAAATTCAAAGTATAAATAACACCAATTTCTCCTCCAACATAACCATCAAAACAAACTATATTACAATTTTCAACTTCTCAAAACCCCTTATATATTTTTTTTTCTCTCATTTGTCTCCTACAAAAATGAAGACTTTTGTCATGACCATAACAACATCATCACTCATTGTGCTTCTTTTTGCTCTCTACACAACCCAATCCAGGGCATCCCCAGCCAACAACGCAATTGAACAAACGTGCAAGCGAACCCCGAATTACAATCTCTGCGTCTCTTCTCTCCGATCGGATCCGCGGAGCTCGGACGCGGACGTGAGAGGCTTGGCCCTCATAATGGTTGGTGTAATTGAGGCCAAGGCAAAGGAGACACTAAGCCACATCAAAGACTTGATTAAGGCTAGTCCTAAGCGTGATGAGAAGCAACCCTTGAGTTCTTGTGCTGACTACTACAATGCAATTATAACCGCTGATGTTCCTCAAGCCACACAAGCTCTTAAGACGGGTAAGTGGAATTTTGTAATTTTCAGTTATTATTGGTCCGTCGTTTTTCACGGGTTTAAATTGAAAAATTGAGTTAAAAAGTGAATATATTTATGTAAAAAAAAAAAAATACTAAAGCAAAAAGTTTAAATTGTGATTTAAATTGTGAAAAGAACGGACCTTATATATACTACCACATTTCATAAACCGACAAAATTCTTAAAAACTCATTAATTTTACTCGGTACATTTAAAAAAGAAGAAAAAAAAGGTAAATAGAACAAGCAATAACTAAAAAAACCTCCACTTAAATAAATTTCTGACTCCGTCATTGCAGGTAACTATAAGTTTGCAGAACAAGGCACTGATGATACGGAGAATGAGGCCGATTTCTGTGAGAAGAGCTTCTCAGGGAGGTCTCCTCTGACTGAGATGAACAAACTTGTACATGATGTGGCTGCTATTGCTGCAGCCATGACAAGAATATTGCTTAGCAGTTAATCTCTTCTTCTTTTTTTTTTTTTTTTTCCTTCTTGATTTTTCTTGGATTTTACAATTCTAGGTTTTCTATGCTTGTGATGTCACCATCGTTGAATTAATAAAAGTATTCAATAGACTTTCAGCTTTCTGTTATTGCAGTAGCAAACTTATGAATATTTGCTTCAATCTTGGTTGTTAAAAACGGTGGTTAATTGGGCTTACCAAACTGAGCTTTAGAAAACGACAACACCCTTGAAAACAAAAAAAACAAAAAAATAATAGCATCTTAAAAACGACATCATATTACATAAGCGACATAAATTATGAACAAGACAAAAACATTAGAAAAGCAATCAATGTTAAATGTCCAAATATACAGTTTCGTCAGGCCATTTGACAGTAACCTTGTTAAAACTACATTATATATATATATATATATATATATTTATATGTAGAACTTCTCAAATTATGCACATTTAGGCATACCTCACAACTGACTGAAATTTGTCTCAATTGTAAACATTTTTTGGTGGTACCAAATCACCAATATCTATCTGCTTCTCTTGATTTTAAAAACGGGATATTAATTCACGAAGTGTTGAGCATTGTCTGAACTGTTAACTCATATACGAAAAAGATATTTAACTCATGATAATAGCATCATTTATTTTTATAAATCATAAAGAAAGAAGCATGGTAATGATGTGGAGACTCAAGACTAGGGCCCGAGGGGTGGATATGAGGAAACGACAACATGGCAAGAACGGCATAAATCATTTAAACCGACAATAACAAGAGTTTTAAAACGACATAAGTTCCATTCATGAAAAAGTAAAAAAAACGACATCAGTTTCAAAAAAAATGAAAAAAAAAAATGTGGCTTGGGAAGACAAAATCGTTGCGGAAAACGATAACATTGAAAACCACGACGCCAAACAATAGTAGCTTAGAAACGACGTCATCATCAGAAACACAAGAACATGTTAATTAACCCTGTTCATTTCACCGATTCAAGATTTACTATAGTAAAAAGCTCTCAGAAACAGTTACATCTAACTTTTTTGCTACAGTAAAAAGCTCTCATATAAAATCACATCTTAACTCGAATTAAAAACTCGAATCAGCGAACTAAACGGGCCTTTGAAAACAAGGACATAAAAAACGACAAGAAGTAGAAACATCTCATTTCAAAGACGAACCACGCTCAGTAGTTTGAAAATTATAACGTCGTGGGAACACGGAATACTACATCTTGTAAAGTTACAATATATAAGCTACCGTTGATGCAAGTACTTAGAAGAACCATGTTTTTCTAGTCGTTCCAATATAAGCTGTAATTGAATGTGGAATGATAAAAATAAACCACGTAGGATATGAAAGATCTGTTTAGAAGAGCTTCCTAAAAGCTGTTTTTCAAAGTATTTAGGGGTCAATTTGGTAAATTAGGTCAAGTGGTTTGAACCAAAGAGTTGGTTCAATCCAAATTTTGGCAAAATCTTTTAACTTTTGATTTAAACCATTCATTTGATGTTTTGAAAAAAATAATAATAAATCTTAGTTTGCACTCCTCTTTCTTTTCAACTGGTTAAACTAAGAGTGCATTTAGTAAATAAGTTCAAAATGTGACAGTTTGAACTTTTTTATTAGAAATAGAAAGTTAAGAAAACAAAAAAGTTTAAATTTTGGTTCAAACCACTTGAAAACAAAAAGGGTGTAAACTCCCACATATTATGATTATGATTTATTCAATGTGATGCTCTAAAAAGTTCAAACTAGCACACTTCCAACCTGTTTACAAAACAGGCCCCTTTTTTTTTAGAAGAATTTTTTGTTAAAGCCGCAAATATAGCTTCTAAAAAAACCCTTTTTAAATGAACTTTGAAACTTTTGTAGAGTTTCAGTAAAATATTATATTATAAACCTTCTTTTTAACAAAATGATATTCACTTGTATTGTAAGTTCATGGAATAGAATCAGACCAAGAAAAAGTTCATGGAGTAGAAACGAAATTAACCCTATTTTTTAGCTCTTGGTTTCTTTTTCCTTTTGTTTCCTTGCTTTTTTTTTTTTTTTTTTTTTTTTTTTTTTTTTTGTCTTGAGGCCGAAAACCAATTAAAGTCACTTACTCATATCTTTCTTTATTCTTCACATGACTTGTGAGATCCAAAGTGAGCAATTTTCCAGACCAAGAACACCCAAAAAGTGCCTACTAAAGACAACACTCTAACCAAATACAAACATGTGATCCTACTGATTTGACCTCAATACACCAAAAAGCAACCACAACCCAGAAAAACTCCCCATTTTCCCCCAACAGAAAAAAGAAGCCCCCTCTATAAAATCACATCTAAAAACACCATAGCGAATAAACAAAACCAAGCAAAATGAGGTACGCAATTTCTATACTTGTTTTCCATGTTGCCCTTTTCATTTCACTCCAATTCATCCACTGCTATAACACTCATGCCCTTCACTTAGATGATGATCATGATGGTGATGATCAAGGCACAGATTTGATAGAGAAAACATGCAAGAGAACACCCCATTATGACTTATGTGTGTCATCTCTAGAATCAAACCCTGAAAGCTCAGGTGCTGATCTAAGAGGGCTGGCCCGCATAATGGTTGATCTTGTCCTCTCAAAGGCAACTGAAACTCTTGACTACATAAGGAGTCTTCTGAAGCAAGAGCCAGACCCAGAATTGGAGAAATCTTTGGCTTACTGTGCTGAGCTTTACATCCCAGTAGTGAAGTACAGCCTTCCACAAGCCATTGATGCACTACTTGGAGGCCACTTTGGTTTTGCCAATTATGGCATTTCTGATGCTGCAAAGCAGGCCAACGCTTGTGACAAGAACTTTTCCAAATCAAGCACTTCTCCTCTTGCTGAGAAGAACAGTCTTCTTAATGATCTTTCAGAAGTTGCTGCAGCCATTATTAGTATATTGTTAAAAGGTTGATTATTATTGGTTTTGTTTATGCATAATTACAATTATTACTTTTGTTTAATCTTTGTAAAGGTGAATATGAATAATATATCATGTCATGTACTTTGTTTTTTTTTTTCTTCCCTTTTGGTTATATATTAAGTAAGCTTCTGTTTATGTTCATGTTCTTTTGGACTAGTGACCAAAAAAGTGCATTGAGTTGGGAATTTTGGTTTGGGCTTAAATGAGTTCTTTCTTTGGTCTTTCTAGTCCACAAGGTTTTAAGTGGACAAGAAGTTGCCAATCTGACTGCCTTTCTTTCCTTGCTGCTTCTTCTTTTGTTTTTTTTTGTGCCCAAAAGTTTTCTTTTTATTTTGTGAATATCTAGAGAATATTAAAATGGGGACAGATTAGAAGAAATCATATTGAATGGGAAGGCTCTAGAAACTCATGTGCAGATGTAGGAAGTGTTTGACAGTTTTTACATCGGCAATTATTGTGATTTGCATATCCCACAAACATGTAGACCATCACGTGCTATGGTCTTAGGCTAATGCCTTGTGATGTGCATTCAAGTGACTGTAAACTCTCTCTCTCTCTCTCTCTCTCTCTCTCTCTCTCTCTCTCTCTCTGAAGTGGGTAGAGAGAGAGAAGAAGAAGAAGAAGAAACACACACAATACACATTCCATCCTAAGCTAGGCACTTGTAAGACTCGTATAGGATAATATCTAAACATTGCTAATGCATTTTCCTCAATAATCCAGTTGGGTGCATCCATTTTCTTATGCTGCTGAAGGGAATGAATTGGAATTGTCACATCAACTGTGTCGTTTGGCTGCTTTTTGCATTTGCATATTACTTTTTCAATCTATTAAGACATAATTATGGTAAAACCAAACAAATTTTAAACTACAAAGAAAACATATTGACATGAATAGCCAAATCAATGAAAGCAAAAGATGGGACGCAAAAGGTTAATTTGTTTATTGGCTAGCTGGTTAAAGCGAATCCACTAAAGGATAATCTTATCCAGTGCAGCCAAATTTCATGAAGTACAAAGTTAGTATTGTTAATCTCTAGGAAGCATTTTTCATATCATCTTTTGCAAATCAGAATATTTCTGTTGTCTCCTATTTTTTTAATGTAATTTATTCATGTGTTTACTTGCCAAATTATTAACACGATTTCAAATTCTATCCGCTCACTTCTCCTCTTTCCATTTGCTTTACTAAATCTGCATAATTCTCGACCTTCATCAAATCTGCATAATTCCAGACCGTCCGATCTCTGTCAAGTTCCATTAAATCACATTTATTTTCATTATTTATGACTTTGATATGATCTGACAGTCCATAAAGCTTTGTATCTCAAATAGAGTTGTTTATACCCTATCACATAATTCTCCATTTATTACTAAAATGCATCCTATTAACAGACTAGGTTTAGTTGCTGAGAATGCAACTTATCAAGCATGTGCAGTAAAAATTGCAAAAAACATTAACATCTGAGTTGCCCCCCCAACTTTGATTAATATACATAAAGGGATACAAAATAACAGACGGGATTCAGCTTCACAAGGCTGCGTGTACAAAAAAGTGCAAGCAAAAACAGCTTGCATTATAACTTCAAGGGTGTCATAGAAATTCATTTCGTTCAACTCATCAATAAACAAAACCTCTCATTTACAAAAGCATTATTACACAATCACCCTGCAAGTCTTCTCAGCTTCTCTCGTAAGTCCGAACCTGCGACTTGCTCTACCAAACTGCAAACAGACAACCCGAATGGAATTCGTTTAGTAAGCCAAAAATTTAAAGTTTCCCAAGTACACAAAGATTGTCAGGAAGCCGAAAAATGAATCTCAATGCAACACATAAAAAAGGATTTGTATGCAAAATTGTATGAACTTACTTGGGAGACTCGGAGCCAGGTCCATTGGGGATACTTGCTGAGGGAATGGGATAGAACTGAACCGAGATCAAGCCACCCTCTGTCGAGCCTGCTGACACCGAAGGTCCTTGGAAACTTTGGGGGGATCTTCCACATGACATGCCTGGAAAAAGTCTCACATCTTAAATTATATAGAAATAAAAGCAATGAAAAGAAATAAATTCTTAAAAGCACTGATTTAAGTATGGTAACAAGATTCCATGTTTACATCAAAACCCAAGATTTGCTTCAATTGACCAATAATTTATTTTATTCTTTTTTATTCATTTATTTTTTTGATGCCCATAAACCCCCCCTACCCACTTTGTGAGCTTGAGTTAGAAACTGAATCCTTCCACCAAACCCTACAACCTTTGGAAGGCAGGAAACTATGAGTTTTGTCACCAAACGAAAAACTTATCAGAAAATGGATTGGCAATTAAAAAAAAAAGATTTATTGAAAGCTATTCCACTAAAACTAAAGCCAGTGAACAGGGCCAAGCTCAAAAATATAGAATGATCCAAATGGTTGGCTCGACCAATCTAAGCTAATCCACTAAAATTGATTTTATGGATTTTTGTATCAATTGGTCTCGAGTATTTTTACCAAACACAATTGTAGCTAGAACTATGTGGTAAAGACAAAAGCAGAGCTCTAGAATCAATTGCAAATGGGCTTAAAAAAAAACTTGAAGAATAGTAAATGATATTATGATAAGTGACATTCGGATGGAAATACAAAATATTACCATGAAAGAAAATCACGAGACAGAAGATAACTGTGAACACCATAGCAAAAATGTTGCTACTGGAGGAGGATGCCTTCGCAGCTTTCATCTTCTTTACGGCCTTCATCCTCTCGATCCTAGCACGCTTCAACATGGCAAGCTCGGAAATTTCCCTAACTAGTTTCTGGTCGGCTGCATCCAATGATGGGCCTCTGGGAGGTCTCGGAGGTTTTAGAGCCTTTTTATTGCTAGTCTTTTTCCGTTTCTCCTTCACCGGTGTCTTCTCTAGATGGCCTGCAGCAGCCTCTTCGCCGTCCAACATCTTGTTTGCACCCACCACCTTGACACTCTCAGGAGAAACCCCATTGGGACTGGACACATTGCCACAACAACCACTCACCCCATCTTCAGCCTTGATCAATCCATCAACCAAACCACCACAAAGCTTTGAAACCAATGTTCGTTTAGAACCTGAAACCAGGATACTACTCAACTCTTCTTCACTTGTAAGGACCCCACTTTCCAAATCTACTCCAAAGCCAGTATCCCTCAAACTATTGTGATCCATTACAAATCCGCAAAGAAGGCACAAACCCAAAGTGAATTTTTTCAACCACTTCTACAGACAATAATATTATAACAAAAACCCACACTATTTTCCCCTAAAAACACCTAAAGTTTCCACCTTTTAAGTCAACCCATAACACGGTTTTGCCTCTTTGGAAATGTATTTTTATATGGTAAGGAGAAGATAATTGACCACAAAAATATCAGGCTTCATCAAGCAAACAAATCCCTTTTCAATTTAACGTGCAATTATTACTAAGACATCGGCAATAAAGGACAAAAATGTAAACTTGTTTTGCACGGATTAACACTTCTTTTTCACGTCAATAATTAAACCGCTAATTAAACAACAAAAACCTCCTTTCTTTTTCCCTCCTATCTGCCAATTGACCAGAAACCCTGCAATTTACAATCAACACAGAAAAAAAAATTAAATTTCAAGATTTTTAGTACCTTCAAGAGAAATTACCAAAAAAAGAAAAATGAAAAAATGAAAAAGCAAAGCCAAAAAATGAATGAATTCAAAAGTCAAAAACCATTGTCTACAAACCCAACAAAATTCGATCATACAATTATCAAAACTAAACCCAAAAAAAAAAATAAAAACAAAAAAAAAACCTTTTTGGTTTCTCAGAAATCGATCAAGAGAGAAAAAAGGAAAAGAAAACTAAAGAAGACCCAACATAGAAAGAGGCTTGGAAATGCATCAACACGTAAGCAATTATAATAAAAACCGACAAAAAAAGAAAAACCTTTAAATAATCGAAGTACACAAGAAAAACGAAGAAAAAAAGAAAAGAAAGAATGTACCTTGAGAGGGAAGCGAAGAAACCCCAGATCCGATACGAACAGAAAGACTAACAACAGCGAAGCCACCGTCGAATTTGGCTTCCTTAAATCCTTATTTATATTATTACTACGTAATGCAATAAATTTGTTAAATTAACAAATGTTTTTTCATACAAAAAAACAAAAAATATATATAGATATTTTTATATATATAGGGAGAGAGAGAGAGAGAGATAAGAAATGAACACGAGGGGTTCTGCCGTCTAGGGGACGAGCCAGGAAACTACTAGATTTTTTTTTTTTTTGAATTTCAAATTTATTATTTGCTTTTCTCTCTTTTCTAATTATTTTTTCTCACTCGTTTTTGTGTGGAAACGCAATAACTAACGAGCTAAAAATAGTATTTTATGCAGTGGGATATAAAGTTTTATTTCTTTTTTGAAGGATAAGCATTATTTATTATTTTTATTTAAGGGAATTTAGGAATCTGATGTTTTGTGCCAAACGAAGCACCACCGACACTTTTGGGAGAATTTTGACACGTGGAGTTTCAGCAATGGTGGACCCTTGGATTCACCCTCACTATTGCTATTTTACCAATTTAAAAAAGAAAAAACGTAACTACTTTTTTTTTTCTTTTGCCCTTTTTTAGAGTCAGACTATTTTATTAATTTGCAGTTTTTTTTTTTTTTGGGTTTTGGTTTAATAATTTTTTTGTGAAGCTATTAGTGGGATTTAAACTGCCATGTTTGAACTTATCAACAGACAAAACGCTTCTTTTTTTTAATTTTTTCCTAAAACAACCCCATTTTTCTTATTTGACCATTTCTGGTAGTAAAAACCTGCCTTGGTCTTAATTATCAGAAGAACAAAAAAACCTGCCTTGGTCTTAAATATCAAAAAAAAAAGGAAGAGAAAAAAACCTGCCTTGGTCTTAAATGGGTTAACTATATTTAAATATTTTTTATTTCTGCGGTGCCCCAAAGTTTTCAATAATTAATCAATAATGCGGAGTTGTATGAAAGGAGATATATTTTCTTTTGGAGACAAAATCGGATCAAAATTGTGTCCCTAAAACAAAAAATATATATTATAAATGGCATCGAAAATATCATTCTCATGGGAACCGTCAAGACAAAAAGAGAGTCCTTTGTAATTGTCTAGCTGGATGAGTATGGGAATATACTGTCACTTCATTAATTCATATTTGAATTTTTTTTTCATAAAAATAAAAGAAGAAAAAGAGGTAAATGAGAGTGAGTAGGCCCAAACCAAAAGGCTTGGAGATTTTCAAATATCTATCTTGAATTTAATGAAAGGGGCCTTTTGATGCTCTTAATGTTCTGCAGGCGGGTAACCTCTTTAGGCCCACACTATTTTGGATATGATGCTTTGATGCAGACAATTCAATTCATGTTCCCCTGCCTTTAAGGAACAAATTCCCACTCTTTATTTGTTCTTACCGCTAATACTTTGCATGATATTTTTGGGGTTATTCATTGATAAGATGCCATTGATTGGTATTGTATTCTCTTACAAAAGTGGCACCGTAAAATCCTAATTCTAGACTGATGCAAGAAGTTTTCAATTTTTAACTAATGAATGTTGTAGTAGGGTAAAATTCCGAACCTTAAATCAGGCAATTAATGAGGTCCACGCGTCATAAATCAGGGCATTAAATGATCAAGGACAACTCAGACTTAGCCGCCACGTCAGATGACAACTCTCTTAGGAGCAGACCGCTAATTAAGTGTGTGACATACGTAGGAGGTCGACCACTCTTAAGAGATGTAAAGGACTACATGAGGTCGACCACACCAACAATTGTAGGCGAAGATGGTTCTGGAAGTGCTTAAAAAGTCGAGTCTATGCAAATCAAGAGATATGCGAGATTTACTCTGGGATTCGCTATTTGTAATTCAAATATACGAATTTTAAGCAATGAAATCATCTTGATTGATTGTAATCTCCATCTTTTGAGAAACTATCCCAAAAGATGAGAAAAATATCCCCGAATTAAATAGAAAAATTAGTAAAGATGATGGTCAACGATATAAATAAGGAATTGTAGGTTAAAAGATCTCTAAGTCTCATTCAGAGCAATTAGAGTGTGTAATTCTCTCTAAAAAATAGTGAACTCCCTCCTCACAGTGGACGTAGCTCTTGAATAAGGGTGAACTACTATAATTCTTGTGTGTTCTAACTTTTTAATTATATTTTAACCCTGATTTGATCATTAAAACTCACACAAACCGTTTTAAAACTTATTATATTTCTGTTGACAAATTTTCACTGTCAACAAATGCTATTTGTAGTATGCGTGAAAATTAAGGTTTTTGACGCCTTTGCCCTATAGATTTTTTTTGCAAATTGGAAATCTTTTTATTTTGATAAATACTACTCCTGAATTCAGTCAGTGATGCATAGTGCTGCAGAATAAATGATAATAGCATAAATTTGGAGGGAAAACACTTGTACACTTGACATGACATATTGTATGTGAAAATCCTATATGTTCCTCGTTCGAGCTTATTTAATATGCATCAATGCATGAGATTTCCGTCTAAATTTTAACAGACTTCATCGACTTTGAAACATTTTGCAACACTTTTTATACAACTATGGATAGTCTATCAAAACTAAAAATAAAAGCTTACCAATTCAGAAAAGTTCGCTAAAAGTGCTAAGTTGTATCAGATGAATTGAAAAACCGGCACTATTATAGAAATGCAAGGGAGGAGAAAAAAGAGACCAATACTTTTTAAAATGCATGACTCACGAGTAAATGGTAAAATTTTTAGAACAATGGATTGAGTAAATGATAAAAATCTTAGAACATTGCATTGAGTAAATGATAAAAACCTCAAAACAATGCATTCAAAAGTGAGTTTACCAATTTTCTCTTGCAGCATTTTTTCTTTCCTACCAAACAGGCGTATGCATTCTTTTTTCTCCCTCCAAAAATTTTTCTTTCCTACCAAACAGGCGTATGCATTCTTTTTTCTCCCTCCAAAAATTTTTCTTTCCTACCAAACAGGCGTATGCATTCTTTTTTCTCCCTCCAAAAATTTACAAATTGCTTTGGCCCAATTTGGCGTCAGTGTCCTGCACGTGGGGACTCAAACCTCACCCGATTCGGAGGTTCAACGCCTGTGGGTCCACAACTTCAAAATCCATCTGGGCCATCAAACAACATGGTGGGCCACTATCAACAAGCGGGCCTACAGCCCACTACAAGATGGCCATTATCTCAACTAAAACGTGTTACTAGCCACGTGGTGGCCCGCCACCGTGTCAATTATGAATGCTTGTTATGTTTCCAAGAAGCCACCTCTCAAATAATTTGGATTAAATAATAATGGAGCAAAAGAAACAATCCATAGATTTTATACATGTTTTCGGGAAAGGCATTAGCCAACGTAGTTTTGGACAATTTTGTAAAATCTTTATCCTCTTGACAAAAGACAAGATTCTGACAAAATATGATCTTATTTTATAATAAATTATGTATAATTAGAAATTAAGAATCAAATTTTATTTTTGTAAGACGTATTAGAACTTGAAAATAGCAGCACCACTTGAGGGCTTGGAAGCAAAAACATAGAGACCAAGGTCATTCTTGTTGATGATTCCTTTTTCGATCCTTGACTGGTAAAAGTGTTCCTGATAAATAATACAGAAGAGTAAATCCATTATTTTGCTGTTTTCTTCTGTTTTTGCTATGACGTAAAGCTATCATTTATTGCAAGAAGAGGACTAACCTTTAAGTTGAGAATGAATTGTGGGACAATACTCTCTCTCACCAAAGCAACTGCACAGCCTCCCCATCCAGCTCCGGTAAGTCTTGCCCCGAGAGCTCCGTTTTCGCGGCAAATATTTACAAGCTCTTCCAACTCCGGACAGCTAGTTACAGAAACAAAGTGCAAGCAAACATCAATGGAAAATGGTATATGAGCCCCCATTGCTGCATAAAATTTACTCCTTAACGTTACTTTGTGGGCGCTTGTTTTTTTCTTTTTCCCCCTTTTTTTGAATTATTCTCATAACAATGTAAAAAGTGCTTTGGTCTGTGAAATTTTGACATGTCTTCATGGAACCAGATCCTCTATATATTAGTTTCTCCGTCATTTACTTTGTCCATCCAGTACCATTTGGTAAATAGGTCCTACTCACCAGACCGGTTAGTGGGACATGGAAGAAAAAGTAAAAATTTCATCAACCCCTGTTTTTTTTAAAGTTTATTTGGCTCAAAGTGTGATTTTTTCCCCCTCCCCATTTTAAGTGCTTTTTAGGGGGACAACGGTGGAGGTTCCTTTTTTTTTTGGGTAGAAAACTTAACACTGACATTGCACATTGATAAAGTTTTTCACTGAAGAATAAATTTAACATTGGTGTTTGCTTCCAGACATCCAATGCTCGAAGCAGGACATACCTGCATTCATACAGAACACTACAACTATAGTGGCTCTCATTCATAAGATCGCCAAGCTTCTTCAGCATGTCCTCCTCACTGCAACAACAGTACCAATTGCAACAAGAGAGAAAACTTGCGGTAACAGCTAACAACATTAACTAAAAAAACTACTTCAAAGGGTCATTACAAATTTGAGCATCAAATGGTTATCTTGTGTGGAAGAAAAAGAACACTGACATTTAAGAAAAATGATATGACATACCTTAAATCTGAACATACAGTATCCTTAAAAGCATGCACCCGCTTGGCTTCAGAGTACACATGGGCAGCTCTCTAATAAACACAAGTTCACCAAGGATTCATTAATGGCTGGCTATAAAGGGCGCAAGGAGCGTATAAAAGTAAGAAAAACGCATATGTATTTTTACTCTATTTATACTACTGCACCTGATGTAACTTGAAGTGTTTTGCAGCCTTTAGGACATCCAAAGAAGATGGAGAATTCCCAAGGACTGATGGTAGACTTTCCTCGGTAATTGTCTCTATCTCTTCAGCGGTGTAAGGTTCCTCTTTCAGAAGTTCCTTTAACAAAAAAAAAAAAAAAGAAGTGATTAGGATAAGGAAGAAAGAAAAATGAACCTAAATTACAAAGATAACGTGAATTAGAATCTATTCAATATTCATATTGCCAACAAATAACAAATCCACAATCAAGGAAGAAAATGTGTACAGAAGCACCTTGACAGCCAGGACAGGATCTGAAGAGTCACGACTATCAGCAAATGTTACACACAAGCCTTCAACATCAGAGAGAGTTTTTACTTTTGATATTGCCTCTTGTGGTTTCATCCCCAGCTTAATACCAAGCACAATCTAAAGAATGTGTGAAAAACATTATCAGTTCAAACATATTCTAAAATTAAAAAACCAAAAAAAAAAAAAAAAAATTGTGCGCCTCTCTTGTAAGTTGCAATGCTAGCTGAGAGTGAAATAGAGAAAGTGGTCAGTGGTTATACTAAAGTATGGACCGATGAGAGAAAAGATTAGTAGATCGATGAGGGCTACAACATTTATATAAGGATTTAGCTTTGACACTTAAAGAACAATATTTAAATCTCAACCCTTTAGATTTGCCTCCTCTCCATATACCTTCGACAGTTTCCAAGTTCATTAATAAATGATTGATATGGATTTAAATAATAGAAACCCAACTATTTGCTAAAGAATACACGAACTTACTGCAGCCAGTCGACATTCAACAACTCTGTTGTTGTAATTTGTGGCAGCAGTGACTGCTTTCTGCGATTCTGCCAAAGAATGGGCAATGACAAAACTTGCACCAGCTGGCAATTGCACATCAGTAGCACGGATAGGATTGAAATCAATCAGTTCTGCAAATCCAGTTTTGGCCATGACAGAAATTGCCTGTCAAAGAAAACAATAAGGCTTAGGAATAATGTCCTTTAATCTCTCAGTGTCACGATCTGACTTCCTTTGATGGTTACAAATATAGTTAGCAGCTCAGCATATGACGCAGACAAAAACCCAAGCTTCAAGAAAAATACTAGTCACAATCCTCTCAAATTCACAAGATATCTCACTTCATAAGGAGATAAGTAGCAGCATTGATTAAAACCAGTAAAGTAGAACACTGCATCGCATTTCAGATTAACGCTTAAGGTGAATACTTGGATGTCAAGCTAGGCTGCTAGAGAATTTGAGAAAGAAATAAACTAGCAACCAAGAGAGGATAATAATGATGAATTTTCACCAACACACCACACAATGGTATAAAATAAATAAATAAATAAATAAGAAGCACAGATGAATGCCCATATAGAGAAGGTCTAAGCAAGTTCTCTACGCTCAACAAAAACAAACCAAACTATTCACCACTACAGCATCCCCTTGCACAGTTCTATTCCAGCCAAGGTTACATCAATGATAACTTGTAAAGAAACATATGCTTTCCAATATTATCGCAGAAATCACAAAAAGTCATTAGTTTCAAAACAAACAAAAAATAAATTACCTGATCCATTCCACCAGACTGTGTTCCAATGTGTCGTTCACATTCACATGTAAGTTGGGCAATTTCTTTCTGTAGGCAACAGAATAATGTTAGCATTGAGAAACAGCTACGAAAATCGTCTGTTAGCTGGGGCTCAATTTAAAGGACCCCTTAAGGATAGCCTAGAAATTAGATGTTATCAATCTTTAGGAAATAGGTCGAAGATAATATTAAGATACCTTTGGAAAGCTCGTATCAAAAGCAGCCATGATAGCAATTGTGGAGGAGCAAACAAATGCTGCAGAGCTTGATAATCCAGAGCCTATATGCCAGTCATATAAACAAGTAATTGTCAGATTCTATTTTCAATTATGAGAATATGAATATAAGATTGCTTTAAACTATTTTTATCTTCCAAAAGCAAATAAACTAGAATTGCAGAATATGAAGACAGACATCACATATTTAAAGGAACGAACTATTTCCTTAAAAAAAAAAAAAAGAGAGAATGAACTGTACCAGTAGGAACTGTTCCGTCAACAAGAATATCAAGGCCGACTGGTGCGTCAACATTTACTCCTTTTGATTTAGCATATTCATAGTATCCTTTGTACCTAAAGAACAAAAAGCATTCGTCTTTTCAGTTGTCATGAGCTAGTTAAACAGTTTAGAATTGGTTTTACACCCGTTTATAAGTAATCAAAACAAGCGTTTACGGAATGCACTTCCCTAGGTTAGGTAAGGTAGGATTGGATGACTAGATATCAATTTATTACACTGCGTTCTTTGTTAGCCAAGTACACCATCAACTTATAAGATTAACGACAAGCATGTAATTTTTAGTCTCACCCGCAAATAAAATAGTGACCCCATCTGTGATTTTTCAAGTCGATTTCCTGCACAACAAACAAGCCGCTTATAAAACAACAACAACAACAACAAATACAAGCCTTAATCCTAAATTAACTGGGGTCGGCTATATGGATTTCTCGTTTCCAGTCTGTTCTATTAAACACGAGACCCTCCTAAAGCCCTAGATCTTGAAAGTCGTGCCTAACTACGTCAGTCCAAGTAATTATTGGTCTACCCCTCGCTCTCCTAGTACTAGGTTTTTGGATGTTCTCCCAAACACGAACATGTGCATCTAACGATCTACGTTGTACATGCCCTTACCACCTCAGACAGTTTTCCCACACCTTATCTTCTATTGGTGCTACACCTACTTTACTACGAATAACTTCATTCCGCATGCGATCCATCCTCGTATGGCCACTTATCTATCTTAACATACACATCTCCGCCACACTCATCTTGTATATTTGTTGTCTCTTAATGGCCCATGATTCACTACCGTATAATATAGCTGGATGAATTACTGTTCTATAGAATTTTTCTTTCAACTTAATAGCATCTTATAAGCCGGTTATAAAACAAAAATTAAAAAGAAAAAAACAATTAAACATCTTTCTGTTGGTTGGTATTGAGAATGACACACCTTTCCAATAAAAACTCTAACTTGGTATATATACAAATTTTAAACGTGACAAGGACAGCAAACAGGTTCTTCTCTTACGATTTCAATACAATCACAGATAATAATTATTGGCCGAAGTTGAAATCAAACTCTTCTTTAATTCAAATCTAATTTTTGAATCAGACGATCTAATTTTTCTCAGGAAACCAAAAAAGTCAAACTACCATAAGTCACAAATTGCGAGCGCATATACAGAGATGTACAAATACAAAATACGAAAGTAAGTATAAGCGTATAGGCATAGAAATACCTGTTCAGGATCAGCAGGATAGGTACAAATTTGGTACTTATCATTGACATTGGCAATTCTCAGAACCTTCTCGGTGTCTTCACCGTCACGCTTCCGAATCGCGACAATCGTATCCTGCCTTATCGCCATAGGCAACACCGAGTAACCTTCGTAGTCTATGTGCTCTCCGATCAAATTCACCCTCCCTAATCCAAATCACACACCTTCAAATTTCTCATCCACGATCAAATGCATTTACATATACATATATATAGAGAGAGAGAGAGAGAGAGAGAGAGACCTGGAGAGCGAGCGAAGACGTGAGGAGGACGACCGAAGAAGTCGATAAACTTGGACTTCAAATTGTCGAAGCGGAGCTGAGCTTCCTCGAGCTGAGATCCCTCGTCATATACAGGCTCCAATGTTGAGTACTCTGGAATCGGAAGCTCTTCGTGTTTCGCCATTTTTGATCGGAGATTCTCTCTTCTGTCCTCTGCAAATCCTCTGCAACACCGAATTCTGATTTCTGAGAAGCTTTTTTTGGGGCGGTTATGACCAAAATGATATAAATAGCTTCCAATTGTTTATTTATCTATTTATGTAATTGTTTATTGAAGGTGAGAAATGAGCTTTCTAATTATGTATCAATCAATATCATTATTCTCTTGGGCTCTTTCGAAAAAAGCTTTCAATTATAATATTATTATTACTTTATGATTTTCCAGTTATGATGATGGTTGCCACGAGTCATATTTTAAAGATTCGGATAAGTTTTACACGAGATTGGAACTTCATTTTTTAGACTTTTTGCATTTAAAAAAAAAATTCTAAAAGATAATTGCTTTCTGTTTGGATTTATAAATAGGCAATACTAAAGCGTGGCTTAGACATCGGGTGATGTTTAACTGTTTAAGGAAGAATTAGGCGCGCAATTTGCATTGATTTGATGGTAGGGAGTAACGTGGGACCCATTGATTAGAGAACAGGATTAATGATCCTATTCTTAGAAAAAAAAAAAAAAGGAGAATTTGCGGTAGTCTTTTCAATCAATGGATTTTGGTTGTAGTGCTAATGACAAAGAAAACAGAGAGAAAATTATTTACTTATTTTTAGGGTGTATCACTGTAGATTTTTATACTTTATTTTTAATTAATATAGTTTTTTATTAAAAATAATATTAATTAAAAGTATTTAGATACACGCATTTTAAAAAGTATTTATCCTATTTTCTTTGAAAAAAGTACTTTTTTGATACAATGTAGTTCTTAACCATCAAGTTCCATTAATATCATATGAAAAAAAAAAAAAGGTAAGATTAATAATATGAAATAATTTTTAACAAAAATCTCTCGCTCTTAATACTAATATAATGAAAAAAATAGCTTAATTATTGAAAGAAAAAGAGTACTGAATGCTAGTTCAGCAGCTTCTTAGCCATTCATAAATTGTAGTTATCTAATGTCCCTTTCATGGTGATACCTGGAATAATAAATATTTAATACTTTGAAGGAAAACGACAAGCTTACTTGCACGGTTCATTTGTCTTTATCTTTTTCCCCCCTATTTATAATTTATTTGTTTATTTAATGTTAATATGAGTTTGCAAAGAGCATCCAAACTTTTGTTGATTACTATAAAGTTTACGAAATGATTATGTTCTTGTCTACAGTGAACTTGTTCTGATTCCCTCGTTATTATTATGTGTCAAAAGAAAGACATAATGCATAAAGTTCCCTCATTATTGTTCCATAAAGAAGAAAAAAAGAAAGTCCCTACATCATTAGCAGAAGTATGAAAAAGCAAAGATATAGGATTCTAATTTGTATCCCCAAATGGAAAATTATGAATTGAGTAGAAGGAACAATTAACCGAGAAATGTGTTATATCCTTATTCATCTAGTTACAACTTACAATTTTGCATGTAAGTGTGACGACCACGGTAACTAGTATTTTTTTTTTAATTATTTTTTTTAAAGTAACTATATACATCATTTCTTAATGCTGGGTGATTCTTCATTAGGTTGTCTATGATTGGACTTTTTCATTGAAGTACGAAATTTAGACTAACGGACCCGTTTAGTTCGTTGATTCAAGTTTTTAATTCGAGTTGAGATGTGACGTTATGTGAGAGTTTTTTACTGTAGCAAAAAAGTTAAATGTGACTGTTTCTGAGAGCTATTTACTATAGCAAAACTCGAATTTTAAACTCAAATTAGCGAAATGAACGGTTATATAATTTTTACTTTTTCATCGAATGGGGATATTTGGATTTTGGATCAACTTAAATTTGAGAGAGCACTAGAAGCTAGTTTAATTGACATGTCTAGGTCATATCATTGTCCTATAGTTACCTTGCTAGCAATGAAGCAATAGAGTTGTCATAAATTCTACCAAAAAATCCAATAAAAAAATAACCGAGCAATGTTACATATTTTTATCAATCAAATCACAATTTTACATATTAGTGTGATGATCGTGATAACTAGTAGTTTTATATATTATAAAAAAATATAAAATTGTACATCCTTCTTATTTAATGCTGGGAGATTAACTTTTGAGAAGACACGATTCATAGACTTGTGGTAAAGCCTCTTAAATTTCAATGCTTGTAGCTTATGGATTGGGCATTCATTCCCACACTATGAATTGACATATCCCATTCAAAAGGTCCAGCACAAAAAAAAAAAAAAAGAAAAAAAGAAAAAAGAAAAAAGAAAAAAGAAAAAATAAAAAAAGGAATATGGAGCACTTCGCAAAACTCCATATTGTATGTCGAGAATCCTCTAGACAACAATTTAAACGCATCATAAACATCTTGTGACTTTTGAGAGCAACCTCCATGTATCAAGTGGAGCACCTAAATGAACTTTAAAAGGGTATAAATGAAAACGAAAAAAAAAATGTCCCTTCAACTTTCCTTAGTAATAAGAAGTAAACTTTAAGGCACGCCTTAAATCTCTAGGATCAAAGGATATAGACAGAAACAGAAAATTGTGTCAAGCATGGCAAGATTGAGTGACACTATCTTCTATAGCTTTAAATCCGTTAATTTGTCTTGTGCACAGTCTTGTTCCCGCACAATTCCAACCAAAACAAGCTTCTTCACCGAAAGGAGAAACTTGCAACCTCTTCGTCTTCATCCTCATCTATGAAGTCCTCGTCTTCGCTGAGTGTCTCAAAATCATCATCTTCCTCATCCTTGTCCATTTTAGCTTTGCTTTTTTCTGCTTTGTCCTTCAACCCGGTGTTCAAAACCACAGTTTCCCCCTTTGATTTCTCCATATCCTTCCTCAATCTATCCATGTTCTCCTTCCTGCGTTCTTCCTCCAACCGTAGCTTCTCTTCCCGTCTCTTATCGAGATCAGCCCTGCAGAAAAAACCCAAAAAAATTTAGAAACAATTATTTAATCATCTAATTTGCCATGGCATACTATCGCCAACCAGAAGTTTTATAGAGAAATGTGCAAGATATTTCATGAGATTACTTGTAATTTTCCATGTACTCCTCAGCACTTGCTTCAATCGCCTTAAAGAAGTCATCCATTCCAGCACCAGAAACAGCAGATACACCAACAGAACGTAGATTCTTGTAAAACTCATCTAGTGAGAGAGCGAGGCTCTGAGATAAAGTCGATGTGTAAGATTCATCTGAAGTTACTGCTGCTTGAAAAGCCTCAAAATCTTCCATCCACTGTATGGCAAAAATGCAGGTATATCACATATACAACACGTTCAGAACATGATGCCATGAAAAAAATGAAGATAGACCGGGGCTTAAAATGCACCTCTAAGGCAAATTGGTGTTGAGCCACATCAATTTTGTTAAATGCCAGCACGACGGGCAACCGTGTCTTGTACAGTATACTACAGGCATAAAGCATATTGCTCATAAAAGTTACTGGGCTAGTGGAGCGGGGTGTGTCAACTACGTATGTGACCACAGTAGGAAATGTAGAAGCAAAAGCTTCTGTAATTATGGCGCCAGAAGCAGACCAAGTGAATATCTCAATCTGACCCGGAGTATCAACAAGAACATAATCAAGCTCATCTGCTCGTTTCTCAATGACTGAAATGACCTGCAATGGAGCATTAGAAAAAAGAAAAACTAGGTAAAAAAAGCAGACACCAAATAAGAACCAATAATTAATTGAAATGGGTAAAAATCATGGAGAAATAAATACATATACATTTCTGATATCAATGATTCTTTAAAATGGTTGGCACTATGAGTGAAAGAACCGTAAACGTTACAAGATAAATATTCAATTGTTCTTGACAGGTGTTATCATCCAGCGAAGATATGAGGTAAAAAATAATAAGTCTGCTAACGTTTGGTTTTTACCTCATCAAACTTTGTAGCAAACAAATTGAGCGATGTAAGGATTCCTCCATTAGGCCCAAGATTAAATTGCTTCATCACTTCCTTATACCGAACAGTATCTCTTATGTCAATGTTCGCACCAAATGGGAGAGTCATCACAGCAGGATCAAGGTTGAGGACATAACCCCGCATGTTAGAAGCATGTGTGTGGTAGACCAATCGGTTCATAAACGTTGTTTTTCCACTCCCTAATCAGAACCATAAGATTTCGGTATCTTTACTCCATTTGTTTTTAATAAGAAACATAATACTGAAAACAGTACAAAGGAAAGAGGACAAGGCGCCCTCGAGAATAAACAAAACAGTAAAGAAACATGGAAAAGACTAAAAATCAACAGCCATAAAGAACTCCCAAAACTCGCGACATCTAATCACGCCGTTATATATTTCTAGACTTCCAGTTCAAGGTAATCAAAGAAAATGGAACACTATATTTCATAGAAGCTTTATTGGTCTAACAAATATACCCAGAAACACCAATAAATTGATTAGATTACCTGCCATTCCTACAACAATGATAATAACTGGTTTTCTCTTAAAGTTGGTTGAAGAAGTCCCTGGCTGCCCAGAGGATGACCCCTCAATGTGTAATTTCCCCATTGAGTCATTAAGCTCTTCCTTTTCTTTACTCGTTTCCTTAGAGAGCAAAATCAAAAACTCCAAATCAATGAGCAACACAGTTCAAAGAATACACTGAAAAGCAAAAACAATGATGTTGAATCTTATTCTTCTTGAACCAAAGAACCATAAAAGAGCACTGACATGGGTCGCAATTTGGATCACATCACCCGTTTGATGAAAACGTAATTAATTTAGACAATTTGAGAGTTAACCTATTTATATGAACTTTACCATGTGAATTTAGGTCATTAATCTTACATTTTTCATTTCATTTACATCAAACTTACTAAACAAAATTTTACAACCTTATTTGCAAAATGTTTTCAGACTAGACCTAATAAGTCGGGTATATGTAAGGAAGTCCGCAATTTAGCACAATCAAAGGGGAAATACTGATATGGAGATCGGAGATTTTATGATGGGAAAAAAGATTAGCTTTGTTATAGTTGCTTCCATTTTCTCAGAAACCAAACAGAAAAACACTAAAGACAATACCTGAATGCTGGAGGATTCTTGGGAATCCATTGGCACAGAATCGCCACCATCCTCCGGCGGTCTGTTATTCTTGTCAGAATCAGCATCAATTTCCATTTCCGCGCGAAACTGCGAAGTTGTCAAAATATCAGTAACAGTCCAGTCAAACATTCATAAAGTCAAATAAGGTAATACTCCGTTTGGATGCCGAGAAAACGAAAGAAGACCAGAACTCGATACAGGAAATAAAAGTAAACTTAGGGTTAGACCATATTAGACGCCGGAGGAGACAACCGAGCGACAAAAAACCAAAAAGAAAGAAAAAATAGCGGGAAATTTCTTAATTTTCCAGAAGTTTCTCGGCATCCAAGCGGAAAATGAGAGTTTTTGAGAGAAAAGTTTCTCACAGAGCAGTGGTACCGGAGAGGGGAAGGAAAGCTTGGCGTGCTTCTGCTCGCGACAGAGTGCTGAAATGGTTCAGAATAACCACCTTCGGCGATTTATCCGAGTTTTGTAGTATTAAGCCCTCCAGTGAAACGCACCGTTTTGGTAGAAAGGCTAAAGTCCATTGTCGGGCCTCAACTCAAGTTAAAGCCCAAAATGAAAAAATATTGGGCCCGACTCTCTCCCCCCCAACTCCAAACTCCAATCATCAACAACACCCCGACAGATCAAAACAGAAGAGCCGAAGTACCGCCCCTTTCTCTCTCCTCCTCTCTATTCTTTTTCTCTCTAAGAAAAGTCACGAACAACAGAAAGATACTTCGCAGTTAATATTAGTTGTTCAGTCCTTCTTCTTCGTCGTCTTCTTCGCCATTCGAAATTCGAAGGCCGTACGTAACTGTGTGGGATTAGGGTTTCGCTGGTCGCAAAGCTGGATACGCACAGAGAAGACCGCTATGGAAGCAGCGACGACCAAGACTATGACTCCTCATACCGCCATTCCAGAGGCCCCTCTCGCTTCTCCGACGCTCCTCTGAACCACCACCACAACAACTCTCGCCGCCGTCCTTCCGAGAGCCCTCCCCGCCGCTCTCCCGCCGGCGAAGGAATCCGGCCGGCGGGAGGCGGAGGCTTTGGCTTGGTCTCTGGCCAGAAGCGAGGGTTTCCTTTCTTTGGACGTGGAGGTTCTCCAGGTATCTCTAATTGTTTGGCGTTATATGATCACAAGTCTGCAAAATTTACTGCTTTCAATTCAATTTATAAAAGGAGAAACGATTCTTTAAAAGATATATTCAGACGGATAATATGGAAAATATTGAAAAAAATCGTAAATTTCAGGAATAATTTTTGTTATTTTTGATATAATGTCATTAATTTACGGCTGTTTCACATTGTTTTGGTTATTTTGTGGAATTATGGACTGAAATATTGGATTTTCTGATCCTTGTTTCGATGTACCTAATCTAATTGTGTTTTGTTTTTATTTTTCCTTTTATCTTTGCTATATATTTGTTGATTAATAACATGCAGTTTCATCGTTTTTGCAACTTCCGATTTTTGTGTTTCTAACTTTCTATATCTCTCTTCCCAAATTGCTAAAAATTTCAATATTTTTTGTTGTCGTTCAAGATCGTTTTGATAGAGTCAGTTTCGCAAAGCTTTTTGTTGGATCAGTCCCGAGGACCGCCACTGAGGAAGATGTAAGTCAGTGAAATTATTGAACTTGAAGAAACTCTTTTTGTGAATTAAATTGTTGGTCATTCTTGTGGTTCCATTTTCCTATGGACAAATTTTTGCGCTGTGAAAGAAAGACTTTTCATTTTAAATAAAACATAGCAACGAATTCTCATAAAGGAGTAGATAATGAATTAAAAATAAAAAAAAAAGAGTCTGCATGATAGGAGGAGTGGACCAAATCATCTGGAAAAGAAACAGAGAAGCATGCACTTTAGAATAAAACTGTGAAAACTTTACAAAGCTCAAATAGCTTGTGAAACCTCCAAACCTAAATACTATTTTTTTTTTCAGGGGCTAAATGATTCGTTAATTGATTCTTTTAATCCTTTTTAGCGTTGTCCTTTAACAATGGGAAAGGCATGCGTTATTGTTGCATGTTTTTTGGTTTCTTGATTGCTGCTGGAGTGCAAAATTCAAATTGGGAAATCATTGGATTTTGCATGTTCTGTTTTGTTGACTGAATATTTGTTCATATGTTCTTTTATCTTCTTACACTACGTTACTTTATGTATGTCAGATTCGACCACTGTTTGAAGCACATGGAGATGTGATAGAGGTTGCTCTGATTAAAGATAGGAAAACAGGACAACAACAAGGTATGTGGGAGCAGTAGTTTCTATGATGTATTGGTGACCAAACTATCTTATTTCAGGTCCTCTGAGAGGCTGATGGGAGCATCTGAGAGCTCATCTTTCGTCTCAGTTTGTTTTTGCAACAAGTTTCTGGCTTGTTAGTTTTGGTTGCAACCCTTTTTCCATGTCCGTCCTCTCAAACAAGAAGAAGGCAAGACATGTAAACCTAGGAAAAATTAGTTTCTGTATAGACATTGGATCTTTGAAGCAAAATAGATCCTGCCCTATGAAAAATTGACTGATGGGGCATCACCCAAAAATATCAATTGTAATGGGAGTGTCTGTTTCCATAATGTAGATTGTTTATTTGAAGAACTTTGGTGGTGCAGAGTTTGTATAGAAAAGTGACTCAACAAGTAAATGGTTTATTGATGTTTAGTGTTTAATTAAAATGTAATTTGGTGGAATTCCTTTGGTTTATTACCTCAGTGAACCTGGGACTTCTTGTGAATGACTTGGAATGTCATGTTTTACGTTTTAACATTGGCATTGCGATGGATCCAAAGTTGGATCCTCTACTGGATGGATGGTAATGGGTTATGTGACTTCGTTTTCGTCTTTCCAAAGCTGTGTTTTTTTGTAATGGATGTTCCTTTTTGGTGATAATTTTTTTAGTTGTTAAATTCAATCAAGTGCATTATCTTTGTTTTCCTTTGAATGTGATGGGGAGATATCATATTACTCGTAAAATGGTCACAGGATGGTGTGATACAGGATGTTTGCAATACAGGATGGTTGTGATACAGGATGGTTGTGACACAGGATGGCTGTTTTCATATCTAATGGCTGGCTTGTTTTGTTTGGATATGGTTGGAACTTGTATTGAGTGTGTTAATAATATGTTGAAGAATGTGGCTCATTTCTCTTTCTACATGATAGATGTATGATCATGTGGAGTGTTGTTGCGGATGCTGGAACGATCCGTATTTGTTATTATTACTGTCTTACTTCAATGAGATCTTCTGGTTAACAGTTTTATAAATTCAACTATGGGCTCTGCCTAGGTCCATTCAAGTTCTACTACTTTTTGATCAGAGGGTAACCTAAGAGACCTTTCTTATTGTTATGCTGCTAGTTTATGGTTGCATGTGTAGTCGTACTGCGCATTACCGTGAAGACTAATAGATGGATTGTGTAAGGGCTTGTTTTCATGGTTATTTTTGTTGTTTCAATTAAGTTCTCATTGGACAGATTCTTAATGCGAAGCATTTTTTGGTTGTGTTCTCTCTCTGTCCTTGTATTAGCTTCTTTATGATGTTGAAGCCGAACCTCTCCCTTTTATTCAGTTGTTGCTATTGAGTTTTCTGGTGAGATTTAGATCTATCGGTAAGTTGGGAGAATCTTATTTTATGGTTTGTTGTATGGGATCTTTTTGCTTTTATACTTATGTGATGTCAATTAGGGGGTTGTTTCTTATTTGGCCTCCACAATGTTTGTTACACAATCTGTAGATGAAGTACTATCAAAGTGGTGGTTGGTAGCTTAATGCAAAAGTTATGTGTGAATATGCGGTTTCAATGTGTATTAGCGCTCGTATTGTTTTGTGATCCATAATGTGGTTTCTGATGTAAACCTGTTATTTGCTTAAGTTCTTCCCACTTTTTGGTAAAGTGGTTTTGGGTACTTCTTGCTTAATTAATTAATAAATTGAATGAAAGGACCGTTCAGTGGCATTTCTCCAGTCAACTTCTTGCTCTCTCTCTCTCTCGACTAGATGTTCTCCATTAGATGCTAGAGATCAGTTTTTTGGATAAACAACTCCATACGTGAGAGGACTTGGGTTAGTGGTTTGTTAACTGAGCTACAGGTGAGTAAGTTGTATTGAAGGGCTGATGTAATAAGTCTGCAAGATTGTTTTAGTAGATGTGGGTTATGCTAGCTTAGCTAGTGTCTAGTAACAGATTAGGGGGGTTAATATATACATTCAGTTATTAGTTGTGAGGGGTTTTGTCAATTGTTTAGGCTATTCATTGGGCTCAAGCAGCCAAGTTGGGAGAGCTGGGTGGTCTCTTAAACATTACCTCTGCTAGGCTTTTCCTAGTCTTTATGTTCTATCAGAATGTTGCGACACTATGCTGTTGGCTCACAATCTTGTTGCTGGCAGCATCATATATGAAAAAGTTTTTTCATTTCTGACAAAGTGCGTATCTAACTAATAGATATTGGTTTAATGTTGATGCTTGTGAATTTATTTCAATTATCTTGTATTGGAGTAGTGGAGGTTAAGGTTTCTTGCGCTTTGTCTTTATGTTGTGGTTCCTCAGACCTTTGATTGCTACGAGTTATTCTGGTACTGCAGATGTTGCATAGAGTTATTGATGTCGAGACATTTGTTCAATTAATCCAACTAATATTGGATTTTAACTTAGCGAGCTCATAATTATCTAATGATTTCTTCCATTGTGAGACTGGCCAAATTTGGGATCTTTTTGTCCGTCAGATCTTAGTTAGAATGCATGAGAAATATTTTGACACTTGTCAATTAATCCTTTTAAAATGTATGATACTCTAATGTCTTTTGAGATGGATACATGTGCGATTTGCCTGGTATGACTGTTCTGTGGTTTTCCTATATCTGTGGCTACATACATCAGACATATTTTCAGGTTACTGTTGTAACTTTGTAGATTCAGCCATTACCACTTCGAGAATCACAAGGCTTTCCTGTAGGCAGTGATTCAGCTAATCGTTATGTTTTTTCTATTCCTCTCTCTCTCTCTCTCTCTCTCTCTCTCTCTGTGTAAATGTAAGTTGCTTTTCTTAAGACTACATATGATGATTCAAATTTACCTGTGCCGTAGCACCAATGTGTTAACCAGATATTACAACTTTCTCCTCTGTCAAATAAAGTACCTAAAAATTGAAGATTGTCCTATCTGGTTTTTCTTTTGTAACCACAGTAGTCTTTGTTGATGTCTTCTCAGTCATTTTGTTCAGGAAGTTTTATTCTTGACCTATGTTTAAACTGCTATCTCTGTCTTTACGGACATTTTAAATTCTTGCACTTCTGTACACAACTTTTCTTTCTGTGTGGCTGTGATTTATGACGTAGCTGCCCATGTGGGCCATTGGCTTTAGATAGATTAAGGATTGGAACTCTCTGCTTTTGCAGGTTGTTGTTTTATAATATATGGATCTACAGAAGAAGCTGATCAGGCTATTAGAGCTTTGCATAATCAACATACTCTTCCTGGGGTGAGATTTCTTACTAATTCTTTGTAATCTCGTAAGACCAATTATTGTCTTTTTTTTTTTGTTTTTTTTTTTCATTTTTCATTTTTTTTTTTCATAAACCTACATTTTGCAGGGTGTAGGTCCTATCCAAGTTCGATATGCAGATGGCGAGCGAGAGCGTCTTGGTAGTTGTCATCTTCATGCTATAAAACCTTTGCTATTATCTGTCTTGCTGTGGACTAGTTTATTGAAGTTCCCAACTTTTCTGTAGCTTATGCTAGTCCCTTTTACCGTAGGTGCATTAGAGTACAAATTGTTTGTGGGATCAATGAACAAACAAGTAACGGAAAAGGAAATTGAGGAGGTAGGTCATCTATTTACTCTGGTTCTTTTGTCTGAGTTTTGGTAATTTTCAAAGAGATTCATCTCGGTGCATGAACTTTTCTTTTGCTTTGAAATTGGAGACAAACTTTTACTCAAGTGAAAATATATTTCGTAGATATTTTTTTCTAGACTCAATGCTATTTTTTTCCTTACCTGTCTTACTTCCATATGGCACAAGATTTTACTAGTCTCCTTTGGCAGATTTTTTCACAATATGGTCGGGTGGAAGATGTTTACCTCATGCGTGATGATTTGAAGCAAAGTCGTGGTGTGTGCTTTAGTTCCTACTGAATTTTTATTTTTGAGGGAAGTCATTATCTTCTGGTCATAGAGTTTTGTGAAGGTGTTCCTTTGTGGCCTCATTAGTTACATCATAATCTCTATATTGACTGCAACTTGGTCATGCGTCTTACTAATTCTTGTTAATTAAATTTTTATTTTTTTATTATTATTATTTTTTTTTGCCAATGTAAAAAAGGAATTTGCTCTACTACAAGTATGAAGGCGTCTGGCTTTGACGTGATTTAGAAAAAGCAAGAATTAGTTTACACCATTAGTCTCAGGCACTATATTATTTCGTGGTACATGCTTTATGAATTTAAAATTGCAAGTGGTGCTCTGACCTGATTTTTAATTTCGTTTTTCTTTCCTTTTTTTAATGTATTTGTTGGGGGGTTTTTAGTTCTTGCAGCTTATGGCCTCATCGTTTTTACATTCTTTCTTTTTGATGTGTGCCTTCATTATTTTACCTTGAAGGATGTGGATTTGTTAAGTACTCTCACAGGGAGATGGCATTAGCAGCTATAAATGCCCTTAACGGATGCTACACAATGAGAGTAGGTGTTAATATTTCTGAAAAAAAAATTTCACCTTTGTATGCTTGCTGCGTTAGCAAAAGTTATATTATGAGTTTTTTGGGGGTGCATCTCAGGGTTGCGATCAACCATTAACTGTCCGGTTTGCTGATCCTAAAAGGCCCAAGCCTGGAGATTCAAGGTTCCTTTATTTTCTCTCGTCCTTTTTTTCCCTTTATTTTCTGTAGCTGACACTTTAAATTCTTGGATGAGTTTGAGAACATTTTCTCTTTGCTCGAGTGTGATAAAGGATTTTTATTGTTAGACTTTGGTAGTATTCGAGCATTATATTTGTCAATATCCTTATTTTTCTTGAAGTGTACGATGACAAATATTTGTTGGTAGGACCCATTTCTTTGTTCTTTATTCAGCACATGCTTGCTAATTTGGTACCTCTTCTATAACTTGCCAACAAATCTCTCCGTACATGCAAAATTTTGACAATTTATCTTCTTCAGGGGTGGTCCGGCATTTGGAGGCCCAGGTTTTGGTCCTCGAGTTCAAGGATCAGGACCCAGGTAATAGCCTGCGTCTAACATATTCTTAAGATTACTGATTTAACTTTTTTCCCCTCATTTGGTTACTTGTATACTCTATTTTTCTTGCTCACTCAGACCAGTACCTTATTTTGGTGATCCTATGAGGGATATAATTTCTCCTAATGCTTGGCATCCGATGAGTCCGCCAAACTTGGGTCCATCATCTCATGGCTTTGGAGGCCAGTTGCATCCAAGGTCTGGTGACATGAGATTACCTGTTAATGTGGTAAGCAACATGGTGCTAATAACCTTTTCCCCCCCTAATGGTAACAAGTTCATGTCATAAATTTTTGCTGAAGGTCATCTTACAACACATTTAATGCAATTCTCTACTAGTATTGCTCCTCTTATTGGATCGTATGGAGATTATCTGATTAAATTAGGAAAAAGTAGAAACAAAAAGTTGTCCTTAATAGAAAAAAAGGTACAACGTGCTCAGCAAGTAGATTTTGGGTTTTGTCTGTAGCTAGAAGAAATGACTTGCTTAAATTCTTTTTGATTTATGCAAGTGTAGAGGATCATAGCATGATCTATTAGTACTTCCTTCTCTCTAACTAAGTGTTACCTTGATGCTGTTTTCTTTGGTTCCAAACTAGTTTGTGTTTGGGGAATGTAGAGTATGCATTTTGGATAAATGTCTTGGACCATTTATTGCTATAATATAAGTTTTCTAACAGGTTCTATCACAAAGTCATGTTTGCTTATCACACTTCAAAATATGTAGGGTGGCCATGGCGGTCCTGCAGATAGTCTCCTACCTGTGGTGTCATCATCTTCAACATTTCAACAGGTTGTCTATGGAGTTCTTGATGCTTACTGTTCTTTTCTCATTTGTACTTAAAAAATAAAAGTAATGGTCTTATTATGGATCCATTACAGGGTTTTAGCCAGCCCATGCCACAATTAGCTCCAGTTGGTCAGCAAATATCTCCATTACAGAAGCCTATTCAATCACCTCAGCAAGTACCACCTTCCCTTCAACTGTATCCTCCAACTCAAGCATCTTATTCACAGGCACAACCCTCTCTTGCATCTCTACAGCAGCTTGGTCAACCACAGATTCTTTATTCTTCAGGTCCAACAGTCACAAGCCAACCACTACCGTCACAACAGTTACTTGGTTCAAATGGACAACCACCCATTTCTCATCCTCAGGTCCAGCCGAGCATGGCCTCTGCTATAGCACTTCAATCCCCTCCAAACAAGAACTTACAATCCGTTCCTGCTGCTCCTGTCCAGCAACAACAACAACAACTTCAGCCTCTTCAGCGATCACCTTCGCAGTTAGCTCAGATGCTCTCACAACAGAAGCAAGCTCTTCAGGCAAGCTTTCAGTCATCTCGGCAGGCATTCTCTCAGCTGCAACAGCAGTTACAGTTGATGCAACCATCAAATCAGGGCGTGATCTTGCAGCAGAGTTCTCAGAATACCAAACCGCAGCAGCAACAGGTATTTTTGGTTTGGACTATATGATGAAGTTGCAGCCATTGTCTCATAGGCTTGAATGTAGCAACGAATTTATTTGAATTCCACAAATGGTTTTTATTTAGAAGAAAACATAGGCTGTTATGCTATGAAGCTTCAATTGCTAGTATGTACTTGCCTTGCCGTTGTAAACTAGTATGTACCTGTCTTTGCTGTAATTTTACTGGGTAAACCTCTAGCTGTCACTTGATGGCTGATGCTAGAACGTTCACATATTTTTCAGTTAGAAGTTTTCTTTCCTCGAGAGTCCTATAAAAGGAAGTTTAGTGCTGTAATATTCCCTGTTTTTTTTTTCTTGTATGTACCGACTTTCTGACGGCATGTTGAGCATTCTATTTTTATTATGGTTTCAGTGGGCAGGAGCTGCTGCGCAGACCGCCGCAAGCTTATCTGCCACTACAGCATCTGTAGATGTGCCTTCATCCACATCTGCTGCCCCTGCCGTTCCTGTAAAATGCCCTTGGACAGAACACATCTCCCCAGATAATTACAAATACTATTACAACAGCGTAACTGGTGAAAGCAAGGTGGCACTCATTTTGCCTGTTCTTTGGCTTTATTCTTGGTCTATGTGTCTGTGACTAACTAGTTTTGCTTAACCAAACCTGTAGTGGGAGAAACCTGAGGAGTTGATATTGTATGAGCAACAGCAGCAGCGGCAGAAGGCAGCAGTTTTGCAGAATCAATCCCAGTTATACCCTCAACGTCCTACTGCGCAGCAAGTTTCACAAACACCGCAAATTCAGCTTCAACCTCAGTTCCAAATGCAGGCTCAACAGCAATTTCAACAGCCCTCTTTATATTCGACGGTTAGATGTTTGTTTATTTGTGTGTTTGTTTTTGTTTTTTGAATGTTTGGAGGTTCAGTTGCCATTACTCATTGCTGACTCCATGCTTAATATTCCAGTACCAGGCTTCTGGAATAATGGGCCATCAAAATATTCAGGTAAGAAAAAAAGATATTTTAGCGTAAATTTATTCTCGAATTATAGTTCCTTTAATAGTATTCTGCAATTTTAGTACGGCTTTATTTTGGTAATTGGATCTTTTTATTTGACTGCAGGGCTACACACAATTACAATGGGCGGCCAGCTCAGTAAGTGATGCTTCACACTTCCAATGGGTTTCTTTAATATTTATAAATATTTGATGTGCTTTTTTTCTTCCTTCTTCTTTTTCTTTTCTTTTTATTTTCTTTCAAAGGCACTAGTAGTTTAATTGTATTGTGCTTTTCAGGGGCAGCAGGCTGCTCAAGAGTGGATGTGGAAAAGTAACCAAGCAGGTTATTACTATTTCCCTTCTGGTTATTCTGATGTTTGTTCTGAACTTTTTTCGAAAGCCCGCGTAAACTGGCCGTTTATTTTCTGGCAGATTTCCCTATTTATGTTGTTTTCTTTTGTCCTTTTTAGTATTTTTTTTTCCCAAGGGATAACCTTGTAATTCAGAATAAAACACATGGCTAAAATAGAACCTGACATACTTTGACTTGCCCAATTATTTCAAGTTAAATGTTTGTAATTTCATCCCCAATATTGAGTTCTGTTTTGTGGGATCTTAGGAGTACTTTATAAGACCAGTCAAGTGTGTTGTAAAAACTTAATAGTATTTTTTTTAATAAATTTCTAAATTTCAGGATCTGGAGGAGCTTGAAGAAGATTAGAATTTGAGGTGGCTGCCTCACATGGGCAAGAGACGAGGCAAAAGATGATGAGTGTTTAAAACGATTTTTGAGCTTACAAGTGTTAAAATGTAACATGTAGCTTTAGTAGGAATTAATTTTTCGTTTTCATTCTCATTAGTTAGTCTCTCTCTCCCAATCTCTCTCTCTCTCTCTTCTCTATACTCTTTCTTCTCCTCTCTCTCTCTCTCTCTCTTCTCTATACTATTTCTTCTCCTCTCTCTCTCTCGCGCGAGTTCTTACTGTCTCATTAATATTTAACCCCTGTGCCAATTAATAATAGTATAGTAGGCGATGAATAGCCTTAGTTAATACGAGTATATGTTCTTCCTTTTTGTTTTATGTATTTTCATAAATTTAAAATCATGATTTATAATTATTTATAATTTATGTGTTTTTTATAAAAAAAAATATTATAGTGAATGATTTATAATTATTTATAATTTATGTGTTTTTTATAAAAAAAAATATTATAGTAAATCATGAACTATGATTTAAATTATGATAAGAATATATTAACCAAACGCAAAGAATCTGATAATAACTAGATATTGATTTATCTTTTCATTTCTTACGTGGCTTATATCATCATGAAAATTTTAGTTGGATAGTACATATTCTTTACTAGTTGGTGAACCAATCATTTTAAGGGCCTGCCAGTCAGTAAATTTGTACTTGTGTGTATTTATAGTGATAAGAGAATTACTATTGGGGCGTCACAAGAGTGTTATCAGTTTAAGTTGACGCTTTTTGGAGTTTGCATTTTATAATGAAAATCACTAATCAACAGATGCTAAAAACCAATAAAATGAGACGAAATATTAACAGATGCTTACTTAATAAATTGATATAAAAACGCAGGGAAGTCTTTAAATTCTTGATAGATAAACGCAAAAGGGAAACACTCGATTCTATTACTATTACTATTATTATTACTACTATTACTATTACTATTATTATTATTATTATTATTATTATCATCATCATCATCATCATCATCATCATCATCATCATCATCATCATCATCATCATCATCATCATCATCATCATCATCATCATCATCATCATCATCATCATCATCATCATCATCATCATCATCATCATCATCATCATCATCATCATCATCATCATCATCATCATCATCATCATCATCATCATCATCATCATCATCATCATCATCATCATCATCATCATCATCATCATCATCATCATCATCATCATCATCATCATCATCATCATCATCATCATCATCATCATCATCATCATCATCATCATCATCATCATCATCATCATCATCATCATCATCATCATCATCATCATCATCATCATCATCATCATCATCATCATCATCATCATCATCATCATCATCATCATCATCATCATCATCATCATCATCATCATCATCATCATCATCATCATCATCATCATCATCATCATCATCATCATCATCATCATCATCATCATCATCATCATCATCATCATCATCATCATCATCATTATTATTATTATTATTATTATTATTATCATTATTACTATTATTATTACTATTATTATTATTATTATTATTATTTCATGTGAAGTACAAACTCCTTTCCTATAGAATTCCCTGGCCAGCTCCACTTCCTCACTACTTCCCCATTACTTTCCACACACAAAATTCCAAGAAGGGGGAAAAAAAAAAAGTGTAGCAGTTCAATAATATGTCACTCTTACTCATCATATTGATCATTGACTTCCGGTCGATAAGGTCGTCTTCTTCCTAACCTTCCAAGAATTTTCCAAAACACAGAGAAAAATAACTATTACTTGAAAGCCTGGCACTGAATACAGAGATAGTTCAGAAAACCTCACCCTGAGTTTTGTTGACTATGGCAGTTGCTTCTTCTTCTTCTTCTTTTGTCCCAAGTTCATACAAGTATGATGTCTTCATCAGTTTCAGAGGTGAGGACACTCGCAAAAATTTCACTAGTCATCTTTCTTCCGCGTTATGCCGGAATGCCATCGAGGTCTACATTGACGACAGACTTGAGAGAGGAGGTGAAATTTCATCTGCGCTCTTGACGGCGATTGAGGAATCACAACTTTCGCTTGTCGTCTTCTCAAAGGATTACGCTTCTTCAAGATGGTGTTTAGATGAATTGGTGCACATACTCAAATGCAAGAGGGAGAGAGGTCAGATTGTTTTACCTGTCTTTTATCATGTCGATCCGTCAGATATAAGACACCAAAGGGGAAGTTATGGCGCTGCTTTTGCTGCACATCAAAAGCGTTTTAAGAATCACAGAATCAAAGTGGAAGAGTGGAGGAATGCTTTGAGAGGAGCAACTGCTTTATCTGGCTTTCATTTGCAAGATGAGTAAGTGGTAGTTTGTGTTTGTATATATATTTGGCTTATATTACAATTTGTCATCAAGAGGGTATATTATAATAATTTTACTGTAATTAACATTTAGATTATAGGATGACTACACTAAAAAATCTACACTTAATACACGGTCCCAATTATAATACAATTTAGCTAAATTTAGTAACAGCACAACTTTAAATCTACGAACTATTTGTTTGTTTCTTTGGTATTTTTGTTTTTTTTTGGCATTTCTCCTGTTCACGAACTACCATTTTGATTTGTATATGTATGCATATATATATATATATATATATATATATATACACACACACATATGATAGGTCCGAATCCGAATTTGTTGAGAAGATTGTCAAAAACGTCATAGAGAAATTGGAAAATGTCTCGTCAAGTGCTACTGCAGATGATTTTCAGGGGCAGCTAGTTGGAATAAGTAAACGTCTTGAGAAAATGGAATCGTTACTTTGTATTGGCTCCCCAAACGTTCGAGTTATAGGCATTTGGGGCATGGGCGGTATAGGTAAAACAACTCTAGCTGAAGCCTTGTACAAGCGAGTCTCTCCCAAATTCGATACTTGTTTTTTCACAAATGTGAAGGAAGAGGTGCTCAAACATGGTCTGAATGGTCTAAAGGAAAGGCTTTTTTGCAAATTATTAAAGTGTGAACGTGTAAATATGGAAAGTTCCTTCAAAGATGTTCAGCTCTGGCGTAAAAGGGTGCTTGTTGTTCTCGACAATGTTGACCAGCTTGAACAACTAGAATGTTTATTTGGAGAACATCATGATGTTTCACAAGAAGGAAATGGTCGGTTTGGTCTTGGAAGTAGAATAATTGTGACAAGTAGAGACAAGAAATTGCTTACAAGTAGAGCTGATGAGATATATGAAGTTGACGCATTAGATTCTATTGAAGCTCGTAGACTCTTTTATCTCAAAGCCTTTAGAAGAGTGTCTGCCATAAGTACAGATTATACAGATCTAGCTGAGAGAGTACTAGATTATGCTAAAGGCAATCCATTGGCTCTTAAAGTTTTGGGTTCTCACCTTCATTCTAGGAGCATATCCGAGTGGAAAAGCGCAACGGGCAAACTGAAAAAGGCTCCCAATGAAACAATTCAAGGAGTGTTGAAATTGAGTTATGATGCTCTAGATCGTATTGAGAAGTCTATATTCCTCGATATTGCATGTCTTTTAAAAGGGGAGAAAAGAAATTTTATAGAGGGAATATTAGATGAAGAGTCTCACATAGGGATTAATGTTCTCATTGAAAAGTCACTCATAACAAGTGGAGATTTTGAGATAATTGGGATGCATGATTTGGTACAAGAGATGGGATGGGAAATTGTTCGTCAAGAATCTCTTAATGAGCTCGCCGAACGTAGTCGGTTGTGGATCGCTCAGGATGTGGTTCATGTCTTGGAAAATAAGAAAGTAAGTTGTCACTAGATACATTTGCATTTTTCTTTTCATAAAATTAAAAGCTTGATTTTCTAAAATCAAAAAGTCATTTATTGGCGAAAAAATCCTTGCCATTAAGTATATGTATCAGATCTAAGTAGTTTTGTTAGTTTTTTTTTTTTTTTTTTCATTGTCTTTATTTTAAGTGCTCATGTATATAAATTTTCTTTATGGTGTCAGGGTACCAAAAGTGTTATTGGAATATCCTTAGACTTGTCTAAGATTGATGAAGATCTATGGTTGGAACCCACAGTTTTTGAAACAATGCCTAATTTGAGATTGCTCAAAATTTACAATTCTGGTCACAACAATTGCCTTCAAAATTTAGAGCAGAATCTCTTGTTGAACTTGAAACGCCTAATTGGCAAAAAGTGCAGATTAATTTACCTTCACAAAGATCTTCGTTATCTTCCTAATTCAATTAGATATCTCAGCTGGATTGAGTACCCGTCGAAAACTTTGCCAATAAAATTTAGACCAGAATCTCTTGTTGAACTTGAAATGCCCTATAGCCAGCTTACGCAATTGTGGGATGGACTTCAGGTATATATGATTTACATTATTGTTTTTTTTTGTTATTATTTTAGCTACCATTTGGCTCATAGGTTTGAACTATAGTTTAAACCTTTTTGCTAAAGTGCTTTCTCTCATAAAAATTTGAATTTACATTCTGACTTTCTGTTTAAACATATGAACCAAACGGGCTATTAGAGTTCGGCTCTTAAATGGACAATACGTTGAAAATACTTGTTAAGTTAATCAAGCTATTTTATTTTGTGTTGCAGCCTCTTGGAAATCTTAAGCATATTGATTTCAGTTTTTCTAAGCAACTAGCTAAGTTCCCAGATCTTTCTCATGCATCAAGACTTGAGAGTATGTGTCTAATCGGTTGTACAAGTTTGGTTGAAATTCCACCACTAAATTTTCAAGTTTTTGACGATCTTAAATCTATGGATCAAATCTCCCTTGATATGTCCTGTGATAAAAGAGCTTTTGGATCTCTTGATCTCTCTTTCTGCACTAATTTGACATCTCTTCCGGAGATATCTGGGAATCTCAAAATTTTGCACCTAATTGAGACCGAAATAAAAGAATTACCCTCATCAATTAGGTCCCTTAAAAATCTTGATTATTTGAATCTTGTTGGCTGTGAAAACCTTGAAATTTTCCCAGAGCTTCCAAGGAATATACAGATATTGGATTTATCCGGCACGGCAATACGAGAAATGCCCACTACATCAATTGAGCGTCTCCATGATGTCAAGATCATTTTGATGTCTGGTTGCAAAAGGCTTGTGAGTTTACCATCCAATCTTTGTAAGTGTAAGGCTCTAACAGAACTTTACCTTAATGGTTGCTCAAACTTGAAAAACTTCCCAGAAATCTTTGAGCCTATGGAAAATTTGAATTATCTTAGTCTAGAGGAAACAGGGATCCAAGAATTATCCTCATCATTTGCAAATATAATTGGGCTTAGTGGGCTATCGATAGGCTGGTGCAAAAATCTCAAGACCATCCCAAAATGCCTCAATACATTAAGCTGTCTTGACGATCTCTTCCTCGGAGGCTGTTGGAAACTTGAAATTTTCCCGGACATGTTACTTGGTTTGCGCTCTTTAAAAGAAGTTAATTTGAGGTACTGCAACATATCTGAAATTCCTCACTGGATCGGCTCCTTATCCTCATTGACTAGCCTTGATCTGACAGGAAACATGTTTGCTAGTATACCTTCGAGCATAAAACAACTTCCTAAGCTATATTACCTTGCTATAAGTCATTGCCGGAATCTTCGATCTTTACCGGAACTTCCATCGTCTATAGAACAACTTAATGCAGATGGATGCCTATCAATGGAGACGTTCTTAATTTCAAGGCCTACACACACTTGGGTCCTTTATCCTCTTAATGGTGTATCCTTTATGTTTTGTGAGTGCTTGAAATTGGACCAAAGTTCATGTGACATCATGACGGTGAATTTCTTATGTAGAGTTATTTGCAACGCAATGATTCTCAGACTAACAGATGAGCATATGGTATGTGATTATTTCTTTTTAGTTTATATTTTTAAAAGTGAATTTTTGTGCAAATTTTTTTTTTTTACAATTTATTAACCTAGTCCGTGGTACAGGACAAAACTCAACGTATAATTGAAGTTTGCTATCCGGGAAATAGAATTCCAAAGTGGATGAGGTACCAATCCGAGGGGTCTTCAAAATTAACTATCAAGCTACCACCAAATTGGGATAGAGCCAACTTCTCTGGTTTTGTTGCGTGCACTGTTCTCTCATTTGAGGAGCTCTATTGGAATCGGATAGGCAAAGTGGCTATTTTTTGTAAAGTACATCTTAAAACGAAACAGGGCCAATGCCACTACTGGAATACTTCTTGTCATCTGAACACATCTGTTGTTGATGAGGACAGTGAAGGAATTAAAGGAGGAATTCTTAGATCGGATCACGTGATCATGTGGCATGCTTACTGTAAAGACTCCCTTAAGGGCTATGATGGTGAGTTTGATGCAGCAGAGATGTCGTTTGACTTCGGCTGTATTGACTATACTGCGAATTCTTATTCCACAGAAAAACACGAATGTTCGCTTCAATACAAGGTGAAAAGGTGCGGGATCCACATGTTACATGCTGAAACAGTACAGGCCATGAACAAGGTATTCACGAATATGAGCATCAAACAGTGCAAGAAATATATGTTTGAAGCAAAGGAACTTGGTATCAACAGCCTCCAACATTTGCAATCTCTCCAGGATTCAGGGGACATTGAGGCACTGGAACAGGGCTTTAAGTTGAAGGCCATGGAAGCTCGCTCGGAAGATCTACTAACTCTGTATAATGTCTTCAGCATGGAAGCATCCTTATATGATATTGGATCACCCGCATCTGCACCATTGATGTCAGACGACACAATTGAAAGCCCATCCCAAGACACCAATATTGTATTACCTTTGTCGCCTTATTCGGAATCATGTCCGCCTGAAGCTGGTATTGGTTTTAGAGACCACAAAAATCCTTTGCAGTACATTTTGCAATTATTTTAATAAGTTTGATCTTTTTATCTTTCGATTTCTAGTTCTACATCTTTTTCTCCTAAAAGCAAAAGTAGAACTTTTTCCAAAAGCACACAATCCCAAGCTGAGTATAAAACCATCAACTTTGATGTAGATGCACATGATCAGGTCAACAATCAGTCTTGCTTGGAAACTGTCCCCAGGTTCTATGATTTTTTTGGCACGGAAGTGCCGCTTCATGATAAAAGGAGCTCCACGAGCCCATCCCGGGACTCTTCAACGACTCATGAGGAAGCGGTTTGCCTAAACTTTGATACTGAAGATTCATGTTATGAGAGGATTAATTGTTTTGATTTTTGCTGCTGGTCAAACTTTTTCTCCAAGATTTTAGGTAAATTTACAATTCTAAACTTTTCCAATTTTATAGCACTATAGTACATATATAGTTTCCCATTTCTTGATGAACTACACTACTTTTCCTTTCTTGAGTACTTCATCTTAACAACAAAAACTAAATAATTATGTTTCCAAAGTGCACAAAGTGAAGGATAAGGAATTAAATTTTCACGTGTATAACTTGCTCTTTTCTATGCATCACACTTTCTTCATTCTGTTACAAAATTTAAATACTCAAAGAAGAGTCAACAAGAAGGAACAATGTAGAAGAGTCTAATTATATGAAAAAATCTTTGTGCAATGAAGATTAATTGCCTTCTTAATTTGTTGATTAGTTAAAAGCTATTGGGAAAGTTTCCTTCCCTCAGGATTATAGTTCTATATGTGGATGGCCAAAAATACACAAGAAAATTGTATCCTGCTTTTGATGTTTTCTATGCCCTCTATAATATAGTTTTCATTATATATATATATATATATATTATGCTAATTAGTGTTATCTCTGCATTTGATATTACAGAATGGTTCCAAGCAAACAGGGGAAATTGAAATCTCATTTGTGGAAATTTCAGCATTTTCAAGAAATAATATTCTATGGCGAGGATTTCTGTGGCTTTTGAAGAGTGTGTTTTCTTTTGAGCCCGTAATTAGCTAGATATCATGAACTCTAGTAGAGTTGTTTATATATTGAATAGGTTCTTCTTCTTATTTATATATTGAATGGGGACATAATTATAAGTTTTAATTATTGAGCGGGGATATATATATATATATATATATATATTTATGAAATAGGAGCACAACTGAAATATTCTAAAATCATATTTCCGTCACTGCTATTATATTGCCAATTTTTTAGTTTAGACTCAATATGATCATAGAGATATGAACCCAATTGGACAGGAAAATTGGAATTTGATTCTTATGCAGAGGTCATTTCTACCGCAATTTCAAGGCCGAGTAACATTCGTCTAGACAGTGACATGACTGCTCGAATTGAAGATTTTGGATTAGCAATCTGATCACATGCCTATACTTGACTTAGTTTCCTTGCTGGTTATAACCTGAATCAATGTTTTCTTTATAATTCTTTCAATACATAGAAGATCAAATTCCAATCCTTTCCTAATTATAACAATTTAGTGGTTCTACCTTCAAGTTTTCAGAGTACAAGTCTGTACGGCACTCACTAATTGCACATTTCTATTTTCATTAATATTGATTATAATAGATTGTCTCTGATGCTCATAATCAATTGGCGTACTACGTGAAAATTATGAATTCTGTTCTGTGGCATATATATTAGAAGTGATGCGGCTACATATGGGGATGTGTGAAGCTATTGAATCCTGTTGGTGGAGATGTTTGTGGGGAGAAATAGCGATCGATGACATGTTCAAGGATGACAACATTTATAGCATGTTTAATTTGGATCCACTGCTTCTCCAAATCGTGAAGTAGAAGCTAACGGAAACAGTAGTTATGGAAATGCTACTGCGGAGAACAGATTCAGGAGTACGCCATAGTTTCCATTGCTAGGATAGGTGTTGATTGTTCTTAGAAAGTATGATATATATATATATATATGTATGTATATATTGTTTTTGTGCAGCCCCATTTTGCTGATAAATGTTGTCTAGTATGATCAGAAGATTTGTTGTGATAATAATATATATTATGAATTAAGTCTAATTCCAGTTTTGTGCACTTGTTTGTTCCCTCATTATTATTAATATTATTTTTTTTTTCACATGTCTTATCGCTCTTCTAGGAATGAAAATTGGGTCTTACCAAAACATCATAGTTTTCATTGATGACGTGGTATTAAATTCCCTCAAAATGCTTGTGTATTATAAAACATAAAAGACCAAAAAACGGGGGATACAGGGAAATGACATCAACTTCTAGTCAGGAGACCACGCTTAATCAATGAAATAATCTATACATGAAAATGTTATATGTATAGAGAGCCTATCAGTTGCTTTCAAGAGATTACTATATGTATTGAACCTTTCAGTGATACAATCCTCATTGTTCCTACGTCCTCCAACGCTGTACCTCAATAGTCGTTCTTTCAGAATTGAGTTCATGTCCGCTTGATAAGTAATTATCATTCCGGAATCAGTCATCAAAGTCACTCTCCTATGGTAGCAATCAACAATCGCACCGTATCTTGCTAACCAATCCATTCTGAGCACCATGTCAAACAGACTCATCGGAAGGATTATCAGGTCAGCTCTCAATCGCTCACCTCCAATCGTGATTTCACACGATTTGCATACACTAACTACCTCTACACATCCCAGTGGGGAGTTTAACATCATAGGATTCAATTCTTATTCCTAAAGCAATTCAGTCTCAATTATATCATTTGATTTCCTATTAGTGTGCCATAATTCAATTACCGGTTTCATAAACCATTGCATGTTTTAAATCATCATTCCAAGGGTTTTTAATTCCAAAACATGGATTAAAGATGCTAATCCATTGACTCTAGGTCCCCAAATGAAGCTAATTTGGGTTCTCCTAAAAAATCAGGGTCAAAACATGGTTTTTTAGGCAAAACAGGGTCAAACCCCGTATGCACTGGTTGACCGGTGATAGAGCAGTGCAACACCACCGGTCGACCGGTGGCGTGCAATTCGGTCAACCAGTAGACCAATGCAGTCCGGTTGACCTCACTGATTGACCTGTGAAGAACAGCAGGTGAAGAAAACCTGCGGAATCAGCCCAAAAACCTACGATTTTAGTTCCAAATCAAAATATCTCAAAGGAAAACCACTAGATCCGGGTTCTAGGTACTAAATCAAGTCCAAAGAACCCAAGATCTCTAATTTCTACCATGGTTTTACTCAAAATTCATAAAAATCTATTTCGAACCAAAAATAAGTTTTTAAATCCGAAAATCTTAAGATTTAAGAGAGGTTTTTTGGAAATTTTACCTTGGATCATTCTCTTGACGCTGAAAACTCCTTGAAATCCTTCTTTGGTTCGAAATCCGGTTGATTTTTGAAGCAAAATGGAAGAGAGAGGGAGAGTGAAGGAATGAGAGTGAAGAGAGAGAATGAGAGGGAGTGTGCTCAGGAAGGAAAAGGAAAATTGGGGAAAAGAAAAGAAAAGAAAAGAAAAGGAAAAAAAAAGACAGGTGACACAAACTTAAAGGACAGCCTAGAAATTTACCTATACACACTTTTGAGTTAAAATAAAATTACTGAGAATATTTAAATTCCTTGGAATTTTTTAAATTATACCCCAGAAACATTTATTAAACAATATTCAATTAATTAAATCAGATTAGGCACACTAATAAATCTTAATTACCTCAATTAATCCCATTTAATTCTTCAGGGTGTTACAGGTGTATAGGAATTTTCTCTGATGTTTTCTCTTTTTTAAGAATACTGGTATTCCCTGTTTATTAGCCGTCAGATCTGTATTACATCTGATCAAAAGTCAAATCAGATTTAAAAAGTAATACATATCTACCGGCTGATAAGTATGAAATACCAGTGTTTCTAAAAAAGAGAGAACAACAGAGAATATAAATACAAGCAGCACTTAGACTCACATTAGCCCCTTCAAAACGCACCCTATTCCTTAGATCCCAAATAAACCAACAGCCAACCATAAAAGCAAGAAACCAAAGTTTCTTTACTACTAAAATTACCTCTCAATACAGAATGCCAAAAATCACCATTAATGCTACCATTACAAGAAACTTTACGATGAATGATCAACATAATCCAATTCCAAAGACCAAGCGAGTAGGGACATTCCAAGAAGAGATGACTAATAGATTATGTTGGGATTTGTTTCCCAAATTCTGTATTGATTCTAATCGTTTTATGATTGGCATTATTTTGGGAATGATAGGCTGGTTGATTGTGTTTGAGAATAGATGTGCAGCTGGCAAGTTCTTTATGGAAGATTTGTGAAAGATCTGGAAACTTAATTTAGTTTCTATTTTTGTAAGTCAACTATTGATCCAAAGATGGTAAATTAATTTGATTGATATTTCGTAGCTGGATGATCTTCCTCTATCTCTTAGGAATGTGTCCAGATTCATATATCAGTTTCGGAAAGGTTTCAGAATTAAAGCAGATTGATTCGGACAGGTTTTGAGAAAGTTGACATTGACAGCTATGTTGCAGTTATTGTTGCAACAAGGATCTGCAATAGATTTGGTTTAGCGTATTAATTGAAGATGTCGTCAAGCTGTTAATATTCTGCTTATTTATTCAAAGAGTCTCTCGAGTCTTTGTACACCTTTTGATTAGTTTTGTTGGGTTGTGAGAGAGGTGAGCACTTGTATTCAAGAGAGATGATTTGAGGTTTTTGAGAGAAAAACTTAGTTGGAGGGATTCCAATGTTAAAAAGTCGAGGGGATCTCGCTGTTTAAGTACATTGGGAAATTGCAAGTTCATAAGCGTCTTCTTAGAGAGGAAGTCTTGGGTAGATTAAGTCCAATTGAATTGTAAAAGAGTTCTTAGTGGATTGTTCATCATCTGGGTGTGGCCCCGCGGAGTAGGTTGTGACCGAATTGCGATACCATTTCTCTTGTGTTCTTTTATTTTACATCTCTGCATTATTTATTTTGTCTTACAAAGTATTAAAAGACTTAAACCGGTACCAATAATTGGTATCAGAGCGGGTCACTGACGTGTATTTCGGTGAGGTCCTGGTGTAATGGTTGATTTTGCCGGAATGGATGTCATGAGAGAAGGAGGATTTGTGAACAAACCACCATTTCTGAAAGGTGTCAATTACCCCTATTGGAAGGCTCGCATGAAAGCTTTCATTAAAGCTATTGATGAGAAGACATGGCACTCTGTCTTAACTGGATGGACTCATCCAACAACTAAAGATGATAAAGGCAATACTATTCCTAAGCCAGAAGAGGAATGGTCCAACGATGAGGACAAGCTAGCAAACAGCAATTCAAAGGCATTGAATGCCATTTTTAATGCTGTGGATGTTAATCAATTCAAATTAATTTCCACATGTGAGTCCGCTAAAGAAGCGTGGGATATTCTTCGAACGGCACATGAAGGTACGGATGCTGTGAAGTCTTCAAAACTTCAAATCCTCACAACCCGTTTTGAGCGTTTGTGTATGGAGGAAGATGAGTGTATTGTCGATTTCAACTCAAAGTTTTGTGATATTACTAACGAAGCCTTCGCCCTTGGAGAAAAATATTCTGACGCCAAATTGGTGAAAAAGACCTAGAGGTCACTTCCGGCTCATTTTGCTTACAAAGTGACAGCCATCGAAGAAGCAAAAAATGTGGAGAAGATGAGACTTGATGAACTCATAGGTAATCTTCAAACCTTTGAGATGAACTTCAAGGATAATAAGAAAAGTAGAGGAATTGCTCTTCAAGCAGATTATGATGATATGTCCACCAAAGATGAGACCGACGAAGATGACGACTTGAGTGAGTCTCTTACCTTACTCACCAAAAACTTCAATAAAATGCTGAGAAAGATCAACAAGAAAGGGAGATTTGGAGAGAGTTCAATGAACAAAAATTCTCAAAAGAAGAATTTTAATTTTCAACGGTTTGAAGAGAAGAAAAGAAATAAGGGAATACAATGCCGAGAATGTGAAGGATTCGGACATGTTCAAGCGGAGTGTGCAAACACTCTCAAGAAGAGAAACAAGGTTGCCATGGCATCTACATGGAGTGATGGTTTGGATGAAAGTCAAGAGGATGTAGATGATCACAACAGCAATTATGTGGCTTTCACTGTAA